CTGGACATGTGGCTCGCATGGGGTGCATACATTATTTAGTAGGGAATCCTGGAAAACGACCACTGGGCAGACCAAGAAGGAGATCAAGATGGATCTTAAGAGAAGTGGGCTGGCAAGGAAGACAAATGGATGCAGCTGGCTCAGGATCGTGGCCGGTGGCCGGTGGCGGGCTTTGGCGTTGTCGGATTCTGATACCAGGGTCTCACTGAGGTTACACTTCAAAATTCTTTTAACGGTGCTACAACGGAACAAATTAAAGTTTATAACTTATTCGTCCTGAAGGTTTTGTTGAAAGCTGGGACACGTGTTTTTATGCAATATCCAGTCACATGTTTACACAGTCTGGTTGGACGACGACGTGTTTCTGATAAATCAATAACTGAGCGTGGTACATAGCACGGCAAGATTCGATCATGTTCAACTCCGAAATAACTTTGTTCACTGTAGAATTTTGTCTTGGGAGATCAGCGGCCTAGTATATAATCTTACCTCCTATCTGTTCTCTAAAATAATTTTACAACTGACTCACACTTAACTGCAGAGCAGAGAGAAAGTTTTAAATGTGACCTACTTATTTACAAGCTTCCTGACAATAACTCGGCTTTTCCAGTTTACATTATTCACGACTGTCACAACAATGGCTTGCAGACCAAAAACACAACAATGGCTTGCAGACCAAAAACACAACAATGGTTTGCAGACCAAAACAACGACAATGGCTTGCAGACCAAAAACACAACAATGGCTTGCAGACATCGGAAAAACCCACATCACGATAACAATATATAAAATTCAAAGCTACACAGAAAGAGTAGGATTGTTACAACAAACAATAAGCTTATATGGCAATTGAAAACATGAAGTATTTTAACCTCTGAAAACGACGCTCGTCTAAACCATATTTAAAAATTCAGCCCGTACCGCAAAGAAAACACTTCACCATTACAAAAGACGTACTGGTTAATGGCATTTAGGGAAATAATCGCTCTTTATTCTAAGAATACGAAACCCACAAATGAACTCTGTGGGTAAAATAGAATTCGTGGTACGTGCAGCTAAAACTTCCAAGCCTTATTCATGACGCAATCTAAATACTTGTGTAAGTCAGAATATTTGCACGATACTGATTCAATGGTTCTGTCACTTTACCTGCATGTCATAATTAAATTGTAACTTTGTTAAATACACAAAGGATTTAAAACTGCCGACTAGTAATTAAGATTCAAAGGAGATCTTTTCTGATACGATTAGTAAATTCAGGCGCGCTCGTATGAAATTAGGGAGTTCTACACAAAGGCAAAAATTGTTGACCTTCGTCAATTTTCATTACAAGGATTCAGGTACCTTCGAAGATCCACAGCTACGACAGGACAAACACAAATTATTTTCGCGGTCATACTCATGGCACTACCATAAACGAAGCTTTCGAAAACTCCCCCCCCCCAAAAAAAAAAAAAATATTATACGTAAAGCAGACACAATCCATTTCTTAGCAGTGCGAAATATCTCTGGGAGGATTTGTCTCTTGGGTGAGTCATTTATTCCCGGTTTCGAAGGAGAATGTTGCAACACCGCCCGATGGCTTCCGGGCCCGGACCGTGATTGTGGGTCTCCTAATCACTGTAGTCGATATTTGCACTGGCATCCGAAACCGACATTACTGACATTCGGGGAGATGTATACTGACTAGTTTCAATATATCGCATTCAGAGAAAATTTTAATAGCAACAGCGAAATCTTTGCACAAAAATGACCCGGAACAGTTCGACACTGTCGAAAGGTGCCGACAAACATTTTTGAAATCCTACATAAGACCTTTTAGAAACACTTAAAAAAGATACTCCCTACAAGAGACGCTTTATGTAGATTATGAACTTAAAATCATAGGAACTCAAACAGTGACTTGACTAAATTTCACTTTTTCCCGTGGAGTTTTATAAAGTTCTTTACGATTTGTGATTCATCCTTAATTTTCCAACAAAATAAAATTAACGAATTTCTGCGTCATTTGAAATCCACTAAAATTAAGATGGTTGTCTTCAGACCCGTGAAATCCTACACTAAAATTCATTTTACGTATGATGAAGCCCTTTTATAATTTCCTGTAGCACCGATTAATGTAAATAATTTCGTTCGGCACGATGTCAGAAATACTTCACTAATAAACCAAAAATTCCGAACAATGAAGAGTCTTTGGAAGTGACTTATGAGTCATCGATCAACATAAAGACCTTGGCTCTCCCAGCCTCGGATACGGCGCCATTTTGGCTACAAGCTACATTACCGGCAGCGACGAGCTGAAAAATACGTTTACGACACACAAAAAAGTTACAGTGGAACCACGGTTCCGGAAAATTTGACGTAAATACGTCTCTCTATTTAATTTATATTTACGTCTCTGTAATGTAAAGTAGTGAAATGTTATCTTCAATGTCATCCATCTTGTTACGAAAGTGGATTGTTGACGGCAGTAATATAACACAACAATGCCGAGTAAACAGATGACGTTTCCTAGGTAACATAACAATGCACGCAAGCTGACCATTGTTGTCGCTTTGTTGATACGAATCTTACACATTTTCCTGCCACTTTTTCGTTACACATTTTTGCCGAATGACCCTTCTGTATAGACTACGTTAAAAAAACACTTACTGTATCAATGGATGGCAACTTACACATTTTTAAAAATGTTGTAAACCCCTGAGCACACCCCAAAACAATAGGATCAATCAAAGTAATCTTGGCTGCAAGATACAATGCAATTTGCAAACTTGTATTCCAATCATTAAAATGTTTGTGTGTTCCTGTACATGCAAGTTCACATTGTTGTAATGTTTCACGCAGCCACGAAATCTAAACTTGGAGCACTGTAGATTCCGATTATCCAGGGGTGCATTAACCGGGGTCTACCTGCTTTAAACGAAAATTAAAAATTAAATTTTATAAATCTGTTGTAATAGACAGAACGTTTTTAATATCTGCTGGAATCCTTAATAAATGGTTGGTGTGCACTGTATTAAATATTTTATAAAATCCTTTGTTATTCGTAAATCTTTTAAGAATTTAAACAGCGTATGTCTGTATATAAACTTACATATTTGTTACATTTGTTTTTGTTTATTTATTTTGGACAATCTGGTGGTCTCGATTATTATATTTTACAACATACCCTGATAACCGGGAATCTACTGTACACCACCACGAAGAAATGTGGTTTACGTTTCAAGAACAAACTAAATTAATGCAAGAACTGTTCTGTGAGAAAGAATTGCATTAAACCGAACTTTGGTCACCCCTAGCGAGTTTCGAAATTACGACAGGCGAGGCGTGCAGAAAAATAGTTTCCTTTTTGTTTCTGAAAACACCCGTATTTTTACAGCTATCTAATCTTCCTAGGCCTTTTTTTATAAAATTCTTATTTACTTAATATATATGAACATGTTATCCGACCTTTAAAGATAACAACAGGAAATGTGGTCGCCCGGTCTTCAATTTTTTATACCGTTTTTGAACGTGGCAAATTTCTTTCCCAATTCAAACGAATCCAACCAAACGTCAAACTATAATACAGCGAACACAAAAGTGCATGCAATATTTTCGCACTTGTGTTTGTCACTCTGGCAACCTACTACTAAGGCAGCAACAATTATACACAATAATTAACAAATCCGTAATTTGCAACAGGAGATTAACTGTGCGTCCATAAAACAAAATTTGATTCCGATAAAACGTGTGACGAAGATTTTTATCTGACTAGTACCATCAGGAGGCAACACATCACATTGCACAATGCGAACACACACATGAACACGCAGTCACAATCAAACCGTATAATTTGTGCCAATTTGTCTTATGCGAAATATTGTTACTACTTAAGCTATATTTTCTATACAGATGACAGCATAAATTAGAAGTTACCCCGGATCCTATATTTTACAGTTTAAATCTGAATTTTAAACTATGATTACAAACATTAAAATTTGTAACACTTGACAAATATGAAAATTTATAAAATGCTTTACATCCTGATGCAACACTAATTTTAAAAATCCAAGAGCCAAAGTACTATATTCTGTATAATTCTAAACTGCATTAATACATCAAAAATTCAACACCATATTAAATGCTACAAAAATAGGCCAGTGACGTCAACCGTCTTTCGAAAGCTCAGCTACAGAAACTTCACACGAGGTCGATATTTTTGACTGGGTAGTAGCTATCACAAATTTGTTGTAGCAACGTTACCAGGATACAAACTCCATGGCAACGTCGTGACGTAGCCAGTCGATCAACAAAATACCGTATTTCTAACAAAATCCAAAACACGGCCACAAACACAATACTATGGTCGGGGCGGTTTCTCCATGCATCGTATGTGAAAGCAAGCAAACAAGTCTTATGTACATTGTTACGTAACTCAGAATCCCTGCACCAGAAAGCGGTACTCTAAAAAGGCTTCAAGAATGTTAAAATTAATGAAAAAATCAATACAGTCTGACTTATAACAAAGTACAAGTTGAAAATACAGTATATAAAATAAAAAATATCTACGAAGAAATAAATAGCCATGAACCATACATGCATGAAATGTCAGGCTGAAGAAGCTTGAATCAACTGCGGAAAGCAGTTTATGCCATTTCATGCAGAGCCCTGTTGTGAGGACTTGGCACACAAATGGCGGCTGCTTTGCCGCGTCACTCATTGCTCCCACCAAGTACATATACAATGGCTTCATCACCGAAGTAACCGCTGTTAAGTATATATGTCGTTACCTTTTCCGCTTAATCTTTTTTGATTCGGGCTTTACCACCAACCTGCCCTCTGATAAATAAACCTATTATAAATAATATAATACTAATTATAATAACAATAAACTCCCCAAACTAAAGTTTACAAATTTAATGGTATGAGGAAGTTACAATCCATAACATCCCAGCTAAAATTAAAATAATACGTTCCAAAATTATTTTAATATCTGGAACATTGGTTAAAATGCAAACCTTTTTTCATCTCCATCTTTGAGATGGATTGCCGATGGGGGATTCACACTTTCAATTTCGAGGGCCATTTTGTGTAGTTAAAAACCAAGCCACACAGACTGGGTATCTCGTGCAAAGAGTTTATAAAAAAATCACTTATTTGTGCATATTTCCACTATATGAATGCTTTTTGAAAGAATATTGGAAGATGATATATGACTACGCATTAGTAATAATAAAATCATCGTAATTCATGAGGTGGTGGTGGTTGAATGTAAATTCCTCCGGAGCTTCCAGACGGCTGTGCAATAGATACAAGACTCGGACTTCAACTGTTTCACGTCTTTCCATGCACACGAATGGCTCTGATGGCAAACGGCAGGCAACGATATCTCTCCCCCCTCCCATGGCGATACATTCCCACGTTACGACTGAACGGGACTTCTGAATGTTCCCTCTAAAACCCGAAGCAACTGTGCGCAGAAACGGTGCTCTGAAACGAAACTCCCAATTTACAGAGTTTATCAGAATCGGTAAATGAAATAAATCCAGCACTGCAAGGGAATCAATATACGGAATTCATTATAAAATGAAGCTCTATAAATGCAATGCGCATCTCACTACGATTAACTTATCTTTTAGAAATACCTTCTTCAGGAAACGTAACATTAATCACATCGGTAAAAGGGAAAATAGTTTAATCACTTACACAGATCAATATATATCCACAAACATTCTTTGAGAAGTGCAAACTGCGTGATTCAGACATTAATTATCTTCTCGTTCCGTTCTCAGTTTTTCAGGACTTCCAGGTAACTAACTTTCTTTTGACCTCAAAATCAAGGCATGGAACGCTAGCCTCTAACAGGGCCTCGTAATCATATGTGCATGACATTATACCCCAATGCTACTTACATTTTCAAATGCAGTATTCATCAAATTCTGAAAAATCCACGAGAAATCCTATTCCTTCATACTTGATTTTCTGTACTCATTTTCTAGGTATGGTACGGATATATGAGCCTATCGCACTAGGAGAATACCCCATTCAACCCGGTTCTTTATTAATAAAACTGCTTATTATTATGATCTTTTTAGTCTATAATCTCATTGACCAAATAAATGTTACCGAGAGTGCCCCAGCCTTAACTAAATGTGTTTACTTACAATGAAAATATTATTCCAGGTGACAAATGTGCCTATTTGTTATGACAATACTATAAACAAATATTCAGATTGACCAGCGTAAAGCTTCATGTTATGTACAGCTGGAAATGGAGATATAAAGAAACAAATGCATCTGAAATTAAATTATATTTGGAGCATGCACACGTTTTGCAGTATCTGAAGATTTATATTTTGGATTCCTACTGCCAGTAGCACCCATTTAAATAATAACTCCTACGAGAAAATAAGACAGTGAAGCATCATTAGACAAAGGATATTTTAATGCTGAACAGACATCTAGAATCCGGAAACGAAGTAGGATCGCCATCATACTGGTATATTTGGGTTCACTCTGTCACGAAGGCCAGCTACCTTGAAAGAAATTTTACGTAGCCGCGACAACACTTGAAAACATGCCACGACTAAGCCCGAACACCTTTACTACTATCCGTTCAGAAAAAATCTGTACGCTTTCATTCGACGCTATACGATTTGACTCAGGGCAGAATTCAGGCTAGCCTGTCACTGGGCCGACTTTTCAACATGAGACATCAATAATACGAAATGTAAGTAAAAACCATTCGGCTGAAATGTTCGCTGGTATTGATTTTCAGTTTAGCCACTTCGGCTGGGTAAAACTGCCGGCCAGTATATAACACACACAAGTTGGGGAGAGTTGATTTAGAGGCTCGGTTAAGCAAGTAATTCACTAGATCATATATAATCTATGACGTATCTTGATTCTTATGTAAATAACCTATACGTCAATAGACGATGTTTCACTGCAACTTGGAGAAACCACGTAGACCTCACGAGAGCAAATCTCCAAACCCCCTTTGGAACCCCGGACATTTCTAACTACTCAGTATAGGAGACATGAAATGTCGAACATTCATAATATCGTTGACGAGAACAAATTGAGAAACAGATGAAGGTGATAACAATATAAAATTCGTCTGATTACAGCTCTGTTCACTACAAATACCACGGAAGCACTTCGTACCAGGGGTGTCCTTGACTATCTCAAAAATTGGCTCTAGAGACAAAGGAAAATTACGAAGATTTTCAGTCAGGATAACCGGAAAACCTCCCGAGGACAAGTCAAAAGCGTTTCTGCTTTAAAAAAATGTAGGTAATTTCGTTAGAAAATTACGTTAATTGAAAATTTAATAATAAATAAGAGCACATAGATGATAATTAGTAGCAAGATTATGACTGTAATTTATAACACTCTTTTTTCCAGGAAGACCAATTAAACTTTTGTCAAAGAAGACGACACAAATTGTCCCTCGAAAACTTAAAACGCTGCTTCGTGCAAAAAGACCTGAAACGTCGTTCCAACACGACACCTACTTCGTGAAATTTCCATAAACACTTCATCCGTTCGTCATTTCCAAAAATACCCTACACGTTTCAATTAAACTTGACATTGGATACTAAATGTAGTTTTGAAAATTGAGTTTCGGCCCTTATCAGCCTATAATAACTGTATCCTATTCAGTAAACATTATAAATTTTTATCACATTTATAAAAAAATTGTCGAAACGTAAATTTATTATATAGCTCCAGTTTAATAATTACGTCTGTCAACAACAGATCTGCATCTGCAAGAAATGAGTATCAACACGAATGAAGGTCACAAAATGTGAAAGAACAATTTTTTTTTTATAAATTTTAAAGCGTCTACACTTTTCCGCTCTGTTCTTTTTTTTTCGGTAGTGGACTTTGAAAAATGTTTCCGGTTCGTTGCTCCTTGGCAATGAACATGTGATGGAATGAAAGCGGAAATGTGGCATGTAAGTTCTTAGAATTATACCTGAACTCAAAGCACAACCAACATAACCTCAAAATTAACTATTACGAAATTCGAGCTGCCGAAATCTTCAATTTCAGTCTTATTGTTACACAATGCGCTTCGCCTTGAACACTAGTTTGTTCCTAGTCTATCACAATCAATGGAATTAGTTCCTCAAAATGAAAGTAAATGAAATTGTTGCAGAAACACGTAATGGAAATATGAATTGGACTGGATCCCGCAAGAGGAACATGGAAAATTCAAGGACAATGTAACTTACTCCGTAACTGAACTTGTCTCGTTCGTGAACTAAGCAACCATATTTTCAAAACTACAAAATCTGTATTCAAGCTGTCAGAATCTAAAAAAATATTGAGCCGTCTTTGGGTGTGTTCAACAAATTTAAAGCAAAGATACATTAACATTTTTTGTACCGGGAAAACATAATTGGAATCTTAAACCTCCCTAAAATGAGCAGAGTCATCGCACATTTCAATCATAGTAACACACGCAGACAACAGCTGCTATCTTTAGACTGACGCACAAGCATGTCTCATATCGAGACGTGTTCATTTTGTAGGTGTCAGTTCGCGTGCTTATTTTCAAGATTCATCTACAATAACAGGAGTTAATTTTTCGATAACCCGATCATGTTCTTCACAAATTCTAGGTCAATTTCCAAATAACAGTTCATCTGATTCCGTAGTTGTATTCATTGTAGAGCTACTCTGATGATAAAGACATTTCTGTTTTAATGAACCCAAGTGTTCATAACATTGTTCACAAAAGCCCGTTATTACTCTCCTGAACCACATGAACACGGTTCAAACCTTTATTCCTGCAGAGATCCTTTTTGATAGTATCCTCTCAACTCTGCTTAGACCTCCCAAAAACGACAATCGCGAGAACACTCTTTACAGTTGAATTTGATCTCGCTAGGACGAATGACAAATTGCCTCTAAGCTACTGAAAAATGGGGTGCAATTACTCGACGCTATTGATTTCTAAACACACTACTTTAATTCTAGTTTGATAAGTAGGCATTTTACTTTCTCCATAAGAATTTATTGGAAATAAGTAGTTTTTTAAGATTCCAGGAAGCCCTGGCTAGTCTATTTAGATTTGTGTCTGGCACAATATGCACATGACGCCGTAAGTCCAACGGTTTGGTATGCTGGTTCTAAATACGGAGTAGCAGTTAGAACAAGGACAGCCGGACCCCTGTGCGAGGCTAGTACCGGTTCTGTAATCAATACAGCTACTATGCCCCTCATTTGGCTTGTCACAGGGTGTTCGACAAAGGTCTACGTCTTGCGTCAATAAACAAGTTCTGTTTATCTGGTGTCATGTCTGTAGTCCAAAGTCCAACTTTATCAGCATTTCAATTTATGAATCACTACATGCAAAATACAAGCGTAGGTTCTAACAGCCATTTTATCTTCATTTGCCGCTTATCATAAATTCCACTGTCCTTTGTAAATGTAACGATAAGGATGTCTCGAAAGTGTCGTCATCTTGATTAATATTTCATATCTACATATCAAATAAATTTAGGCCTTCTGTAGCATAAAGTAATATAAACTGTACTGGAAAAATCAATTCAGTAGCAATTATTCTTATGTCAGAAAATTTAAAAGGCAAGCATGTATTTATAATGCAAAATGCACGTTCAAAGGGACTTATCGAACTTGATAATGTAAATTTTACTGAGGAAAATAAAATAGTCGTGATTTCATATTTTAAAGACAAATTGTAGCGTGGGTATATGTTTCTTGTTTACGTTTGCTTTGTATATCAGCACATGGTCTCAACAGGATAAAAGAATGGAAGACGACAGAGAGACCGAGCAAATAAGGTGTCTATTAATTTAGAAAATATAGGCTGAAAGTTTGGATTCGTTTCTACATTTTTACATTAGTACTTTCCTGCAAGGACTGAGAAAAACCACGAAAAACCTCATTCAAGATAGCTGGTCCTCAGGCCATGATATGACTAGAGAATTCTTTTGTGGATGGTGATTGGCAGTTAATGTTCAAATTGATGTTTTTTTGCATGAGAAATACCTGTGAGAATACAAGGAACGCCGCCATCTTTAATTGTTTCGTATCTCTCCTCTCATGGCAAACACCGGAGACGATCACCTTCATATGGCATACCATACCCTACCCTACCTTACACAATCGGAGAAAAGTACGGGGGAATGACCACCACATACTGTAACGTAAGGCTATTATAACACAGGTTCGAAAATTCACACCTACGTGTACCTGTATCCTTACGATGATATCTTCTTTCTTTATCAAAGGGCTATCTTAAACGCAACAGGCACGTACTTTTTACAAGATATTTTCACTAATATAAATCCTTAATTTGCAATGGGGCAAGAAGCTCAATGAAACCAATACTGGTAATCAATAAAATGGAAAGCAAAGATAAGAATTAAACTCTTGAGTTTTCACTCATTTCAAGTTTTTATAATCAAATGTCAGGATTTATTATTGTGACTGGTTCTTATAGTTTAACAATGAAGTTTAAAAATAGCTGAAAAGATTTTTGAAGATTGTGGAGTGCTTAAGAATATTATTTCAGTATTTGCCTGAAGAATTCCAGGAAACCCTCAGTTTAGATAGTAACCCAGCTATGGTTCAAAGCAAGTACCTCCTGCATGCCAGTCTTGAGTATTAACACTGCTACTCCAACCTGGGATGACAAATTGCAATGACAGAATAATGTTTACTCATTCTCACGAAAGATAATATTAAACCAGACTTCAGTATGGCGAGAGTGCTGAACTCGAGCTCTACTTATCTCGATAAACCACTGTAGACTAACACAAGTACACACCGTGAATCAGAGATGACCGGAATGGTGGAAAGTGATACAGAGTCATTTTTCCAACTTTCATGACACCCAGAACATGGAGATTTGGAATAATGAGATTCGGTGACCATGTTGGCCAGCTCTGTGGATAGCCACGGACAGGCCATCGGTCAGTAAACTGCTCATTCAGACCCATTTTGCAGGAATCACGAGTGTAATTCTGTTTACTGTGCGAGATTTGTGGTTTTTGCGGTGGCGAGAATGAAGATCATGTTTGTCTGGGATTTGACACTGTATAGATTCATCAGTAGACGCCAGCATTTAGGAGAAACATATTGTCTTCTCCAGCCCATCAGATGGAGAAAGTATGTTTCTCTGAAACATTTGAATCTATTGGTGAGTCTACACAGTAACAAGACTCAAATCATGATGATGATGATTTTTGTTCAGATCATCTTGAATTTCTATCCACAGCTCCATAAGCATTAGACCCATGTTCATGTTATATTTATAGCGTAGAATGACCCCAGGAATAAGATATGAAGTCCCTTAACTCTCTGCACAGTAGAACTTCTTTTATCCAGAACTTCATATTTAAAGGAATTTGTGGAATTCAAATGTAGAGAAATTAAAGCAGTACAAGGAATTCCACAAATTACTAAATTTCTCATATTTAGTGCAGTCAACTTTAAAATTTGTTGTTCTTTCTGATATTTTCAAGAAACAGACTTACGAAATATGCATAATTTTCACTGTTAAAAATGAAATTCAAATTCACGCAAAAATTATGGTTATAGGCCCACATCTGACTTTCAAGAAGTTGTCTGCTCCTCCAGTGACGATGATCATAACAATCTTCACTACCAACTTATGACTGCGGTCAAAATGGAAATTTCTCCCACCGTTTACTATCTAAAATGTGGATTTCCATCTTCATCGTAGAAGCCATGATGGTGAGGTTATTAGCCACAGACAAACAATTTTGTGAAAAATCTGCAAGTTGTGTAGTTATGAGGCGCTACGCATTCGTTTTCAGAATGCTCTCCTGGTGGTAACACTGATATCAGTTCTGCTGCTAGATGATAACGGTGTGTGCGTTTATATATATACAGTGTTACAAACAGTAAGGGACAGAAGGTAAATTAAAGTTTGTCCCACTAAGTGCCGTAAAGGCGCTTGGGGTGAGTGGAGGTTTAACTCCTCTCTTTCTTGACCTCGGCACTAGATGGGGGTGAGTGGTCAGCATCACGCCCCGGCCGGCTTTACCCCCGGTACCCATTGTAGAGGAGGCTGGGTGGGCCCCAGAGCCGGTCTGGACGCAGAGGCTAGAGGAAAAATCCTCTGCCCCCGTCGGGGATCGAACCCCGGCCGTCCAGCCCATAGCTAGTCACTATACTGACCGAGCTATCCCGGCTCATGAGGGACAGAAGATACTCTTGCATATTATTTAGTTACATCTTTCTTTGAGCAAAGACATTTGACATATCCTATATCAATGTATTTTTGATCTACAGGAAAAATAAAGTATTGTATTGGTGGTTGATGAAATCCATAAAACAGTACATTTAAAAGAATGAGTTTTCACAGCGGCGTTATCATTTTGTATTTTAAGTAAAATCTGCTCATGTTAAAATATCTCTGCTCTATCTCTTTTTCAACTTAAAAAAACCCTTCCCTTAATTTATTAATCACTAATTAGCAATCAGTTTCACATTCAGCTCCCCTGTAAGATCATACAACCAACATACACAAATTTATTATTTTATAAATTAGCAAGCGATGTCTAATATGTATCATCCGAGTAGCAGAAACATATTTCTGGATATGACAATCTTCATTAGGGGTCCGCAGTGGCCGCGCGGTCTGAGGCGTGGGCCTTGTGCCGCCTGGTCGCTGGGACCGTGGGTTCGAATCCCACTCAAGCCACGGATGTTTTGCTGTGTTGTGCTGTCGCGTGTACAGGTAGAGGCCTTGTGATGGGCCGATCCCTCGTCCGAGGAGTCCTACCGAATGTCCATAGATCAAGCCAACTGAAAAGCTCGGGACCCGTAAAGGATACTGGAAAATGTAGAAGACAATCTTTATTAATTACACCCCGTTATCATCATAAAAAAGAAAAAATAGGGCAGATGAAGGTCATATGATTATAGATGAGCCATTTAACATTTTCTAATATACCAGAGCAATTAATAATGTGTTAATAATTACTGTACACATTTTAGTTGTGCATATGCTTCAAAGTCTGTACAGGATTTCCACGGCTGTAAGGCACGTTACGATGGAAATGAGTAAACGACAGCTTTGATCCTTGGAGACCATTTAAGTCCCATGGTTTTGTACCATTCTATATACAAACCCCACAGACCAAACGCGACACAGTGGCAATGAGCGGACAGTAGAGACCTACCTTCCCCATTACATCTTCTGGAGAAAATACTGTTGAAATGGGCATGAACAGTACAGGAAAATTGTGGAAAAGCCCCCAGTAAGTTGAAAATAATCTGCCTTCCTGATGAACAAAAGAAAAATGTCAACTGTACATGCTTCAGCATCTGTCAGTAAGCGCGATCATAAGAGAAGTACGAGCCTATGACTCCGGTAACAGGGAAGAGGGAGGAATCTGAAAAAAGCAGACCTCCCTCTTTGTAAAAGTAAGGGGACGTCTTACATATTGTATTAAGAATTTCAGGATGAGGAAGTAGAGAGAAGACTTTTTTGAGTATGAATGTCTTATCGTTAAAGATGAAGTGATGACGTAGCTTTTAATTGCATGATAAACCGTACTAAATGCTAAAGAATTAAGGAATACGAGAGAATATTTGTATAAAGATACTTGTAAATAAAAGAAGAAAATTAGTAAGATATGAGTGGGAACAGGGACATGAAAAGTAGGCTCCTAAATGTACAAATAAAGTCCGTGTAGCAACAGACATCAGAGAGCGGTCAGCAAAATCCAAAGTCAGACACGGACTCCTCTACAAAGAACTCAAAAAGATAAATTACAATTAAATGGCTCCTTTAGTAGCTGCTGCACACTTCACATTGTCTTTCGGGCTACCAGACAGAATGTTCATGAAACATGAGTGGGTTTTCAGCACCCCAAAACAGAGAGCTGTCAGTTCAAGTGACCACTAACAAGGGATGCAACACTTAACACGTGTTTCTTTGTCTCGGGGTATACAGTCTAAATGATTTGCATTCACAAGTCGTTATTTAGGATTCACCAAACACTTGACTGCAAAAGGGTTCTTCTTCTTCTTCTTCTATGGCTCTCCGGTCCGTATTCGGTCCACGACCTCCTCAATTCTCCTCTTCCGTTCGGTCCTCTGTTAGGTCTGAAACGTCTTCCTTTTTACGGTGCAAGGTTGTTAGCCTTGCGACCAACCCCCAACCTGGAGGACCAGGGTACCTGCACCTTCTCGTGGTGGTGGGGCTTGAGTACCTCAGTGATGCTGGCGGTAGCATAGCTACTGGTAGGGTCCCTCTAGCCACTGCAAAAGATTACATTCACCAATAAACAACTTCATGGACTTCAAGGGTTTCAACAAATGCTTTCTGCATTGCAATGAAGTTTCTGGAGACCTACCTGTTCTTTTACGACCAATTTTCTTTGTAATTATCTGCTACAGAACCAGTTTTGACAATCTTGTCATATCCTTGATAAATAGTCAACCAAGAAGGTGGGTCATAATTGAAGTATCTATGAAATGTCTTTTTTCTATGACTGTGACTGAGCCACAACCTTCCTTTTTCCTCCAAACAAACACATGTTGCCATTTCAAATGTTTATTCAGCATTAAAATCAACTCCATACAAGGTGTAACAATTTTCTAAACCGTTCTGTATGAGACTACATGCAATAAATACAATTCAGTGTGTACCATGTAAAGGAATATGTGGCTAAAAAACAAGTCATTAAACAGCTTTGGAGTCAGTATGACCTCAGACATACTACTTACGAACGAAACACACAAATATCTTCAGTGATTGCATATGAAGGACTGCTCTGTGATATGTTCATAAGTTTAGTTTAGAGGAGCTATTGCTACAGGAATTATGACTCGGAAATATTAATTCCATTAAAAACTGCAAATTTTTTAAATAAATTCAATCTGATTTAGCCAATCAAAATGTAAATTGTGGAGTGCACTATACACATACACAACCTGCGTATGATTTTTCATTCTTATTTTCTTTACAATCACCAAGCTACACTTGAAGCTGCAACCACTTTCACATTTTTCTAATATGTTTCACATAGAAAGTTGCGATGGAGAAACAGCCTCCATTTATGGAAGTTAGCTGTGAATATATTGAATAAGCAGTCATGGAGGGGGCAAGAGGTGTGCACCAAGTATTGGTCGGGAAGCCTGAGGGGAAGAGACTGATGGGGAGACCTAGATGTAGATAGGAGGATAACGTCAGGCGGGATCTATGGGAGATAGGAGTTGAAGGAAACTGGATTTTGTTGGCCCAGGACAGGGTCCGGTGGAGGGCTTTGGTTAATTCGGTGATGAACCTTCGGGTTCGGTAAGCCAGTAAGCCATCCAATTAGTTAGTTAGTTTATATAGAAAAGAATGAAGGTGAGCTTTCACCAGAGATGTATGATGGAAATTCCTTGTGATGTAAAACAACAAAACAAATCTACTGCACAAGTTAAACAGAGAATAAGGGATAAAAGTGTTGAACCTTGTTTCAAGATGACAACAAAGCATTTATGAATTGTAACACATAATAGTAAATGAATTTTATGTATGAAAATATTACTAACAACTATCACAACACAAGAACTAAACTAAGCTAATCTAAAACAAAGCATACTAAGCTAAAGCAAAAACAAACCTCAAAAATCACAAATAATACAAAGGCATTCAAACTAATAAAGTACATTAGCCGACTATTTTCGCTATACATTTGCATTACTCATCCCAAAAACCTACAGACTTAACAGTTGTGACAAGGTATTTGTCAGAAGTATGTTTGGGAAGCGGTACACAATCCTGCATATAGATGTATGTACTGTGATCAATGACGCCAATATACATGCACATTTTGGGGATTAATTACAGCAACCTTTTTATGTAATAAATACAATAAATTGGTACTTTGTCTACTCTGACTTATTTCGATCTTCGTGTTTTACTCATACATATATTTACTGACTACAGCATAAATAAAATATAGTCACTCCATAAAATCTGTTGCAATCATTCGAACAAAACATAACCTCACTTTCGAGCACATACAATTTCCAATCACTACATATCACAATGGTACCTGTCTTTAACCTTACTAGGTTCAATTACAGAATCAATGGGGCCATTCCTACCGATTCTCTCATCACCATTCAATTCGTATATACATGACTGTCCTGGTTCATAACCTAAGAAACTAACCTAATCAAGCGTAATGCCATGAAATACTTAAATCGCATGAATAAATTACACATCACATTTAGTCACACAACTGAAACTCGTTTTCGACTTATGATAAATTACTGTCTTTGAAGTAATATACATAGAATTAATAAGAAATAGTTTATAGATCCTACCAACCCACGACACTTGCACCTAAATAAGATTTTTTGAGTAGTTACTACAATTACTTGGAAACAGATCTATTTATGTTTCACGCGACGGAAGGACGTGAAAATCGTTTTTTTCTGAGAAGATTTAAATTAAAAATGTCAGTCATTATAGTACAAATTAGCAATTTAAAAGAAGAAATTTGTAACTTTAACTAAACTTCATGCATTAACATGGTAATATTCCAATGATTGATAATATTTCATGATTTATTTTTAAATTCATTATTACGCAGTTATGTGATAGGCGGATATGCTTCAGTATACAATTCTCCGTTATGCAGCATCGCCCCCGTGGCCTAATGGATAAGGCATCGGTCTCCTAAACCGGGGATTGCGGGTTCGAGTCCCGCCGGGGGTAATCATATTTTGTAACTATTTTTCATTCTCAAAACTTCGAATAAGACGTTATGTTTGACAATTTTTGTTATGGGGCGATAGTTCGTGGCCTCAATAACCAGGTAGACATCCAGTTATGGGGTACGAAACTACTGCTGAATTTGACTATTGAGCATATTGTTTTCACACTGGTATGGTCAACTTCCATAAAATCGCTCCAGCAACATTAATTTATTAAAATACACTAATTTTTAATATCTGGAGAGGTATCGTACACCAACTGACCGTGTGGCCTAATGAACAAGTCGTCGAACTTAAAATTCGAAAATCCCCAGTTCGAGTCGAAAAAAATATTAATTTTCCGCTGTTGAGTTCTGTAAAGCATTATTTTTTTCAGTGTAGTGTTTGGCATGATTTCCAATACTTTTATATCTGAATAGTATTTCCATATTTTGATCTAATAGTTACTATCATTCTCACTCGACCTGCGTACATTACGCTACTTGTTGCCGATATAGCTTTCTGGGTCGGGTGCAATTTCTAATTCTTACCGCCATCTCTGATTATAAAACATAGGCAACTTGCATTGTGGAAGCGGAAGCGCTAACCCTATCGGTAAGCAGTTTCCTACTATTCCACCTTCAATATTCTTCAGTGCTTTGCCCTTGACCTCAGTAATCTTAATCTTGCAACGAAAACTACTGGTAAAAACCCATATATAACTGTAGTCTTTCATTTGCATTTCGTATGGGTCAACATTATATTAATTTAAATGTAACTTTTGTGACATTAAATCAAAACTGACAAATATATCTAAAATCTTCAACCCAGTAAAATGCCTTTTCCAAATAACTAATATTACAGTACAGCAATACCAATTTTCTGCTCTAATAAATGTAATGTAAGACAGATTGTCATTATTACCAAAACATTACTCACAACAATAATTTGTATTCAACTGCATAATCTGTTACTAATAAAAATAAAACTGTTTGTTGTGCATAAGATGGATTACATATATAAATATAATGAAATATTTACTGGATTTAATTGTCACAGTGGGACACATATCAGAGAAAATATAAGAATTTGGCAAAGATTCCTGTTTGGTTTTTATTTATCTTCAAGGTGCATATCACAGTATACAGAGAGAGGAAATTTGGAAGGAATTACACATGTAAAGACTGTTGTTACAGATGGCAAAAATTCAAATGTTTAACATGGTAACACATAAGGTACTAAGAAGAGTAACAGTATGACAAGACAGTGAATTACTGTAGAGAAGAAATTTGAAAGTGCTGTTATAGTGTGTGTAAAATTTTTGGATTAAGTATCAGTTTTGAAAAATGTGTGGTTGTGAAAAAAAAAGTGCAAAATATGAAATCTAACAATCATTAAATAAAAGAAGTGGAATGTTTAGAGTATTTAGGCAGTAAAACAGTGATAGATGGAAATGTTAAAGAAGAAATTACAGAAAGTGTAAAAATGCAGGACAATGAATTAGTGAGAGACATACTCTGGGAACTCGAAATACCTAAGAAGGGGACAATATGCCTATCTCAAAGTTACAACACACATTTTAACACAAGGAGAAGAAACTTAGACATGTACTAGGGTATATATTACTAACGTATAGTAGGTACAAGATTGGAAAGGTATGGACACCAACACTGCAAAGGTGTCATTCACACCATATCACATACGTCAGTATTGCATCAATGTGATTTGAGCTCACTGTTGCATCTTCAGTCATTATTGCATTAATGTCATACCAGGCCATGTAGGTTGAGTACCCGCAAGAAAAATGTGAAGAACACCTAGAAATCAAGAGATAGAATAATAAGCAAAGAAACTGTAGTGAATATAAAGACAAAAGAATGCTTTAAACATGGAAGTTAAATCAAAACAACCAAGAGGAAAGATGGCTGTCTTCTGGGTTGCTGTGCCATGTTGCCTCCAGAGGGAGACAGCAAGCAACCCAGAAACAGTAGACTAGGAAAGATGTCATACAGATGAAAGGAAGGAAGAAATTCAAGAAGAGGAGCTGCTGGAAGGCATAGACAAATGGAGAGGCTTGGTTATCAGATGTCCCACTTAAAGTGCACGTCTTAGAAGGAAGAAAGGTCTATTATTTATTTGCAAATTTCAGTATTTGTTATGAACTCACAATGGCAAAATAATATATTTACCTTTGAATGTACTCCAACATTGCAAATGCCTCAGAAATGCTGTATTTCCATTCCTTGAAATCATTAGTCTCCCTGGCACACTTAATGATAATTAATTTAAAATTATGATCATATCTAATTCATGGAAATGAGGAATCTATGTAGAATAATATCTTTTTGCTTCCATGTGGTCTTCCATGATCGTGTAAAGTAATTCATTATACTTTTGTCTCATGTGCATATTTATATTAAACAGTCAGTAACTCTTAAAATACTGTACCACAAACCAGTTCCTGACAAAGCAACAATAAACATACACAACTTTCCTTGGAATTCCAGGTAGCTGTTTCAGCAAGACACATATGGGGCTATATTTGTTTATCAAGAGCTGCTCTCATCTGAACAGGAAAAGTTATAATCATGAGAAACCAACGAAATATTACTTGAAGAAATGTGTGTATCTGAGTTGAGGAAAAGACTGTCCGGAGATCCTTTCGTGGATGTGGGATCACTATTGTCCATTTTGAGTCTGGTGGCATTATCAGTATTTAATGAACTATCAACAGCTTGAATATTCCTGCTTCCTAATTCTGAATTCTCACTAGATGTCTTGTAACATGTGGAAGTGTCAATAATCACATCACTAGTAGCAATCCCTCTGTCCATCTTTGATGGACATGTTGTAACATCACCGCTGTCAAAAATACAAGTGTCTTTGCATTCAGAAACTTTGTTATCAAGTGACTTTAGTCGCACACTACCCAAAATAGTAAACTTTCTGAGATTGTTTTCTGCAGACTCTTTATCAATATTTGGTCCCCTGCTGGATTCATCAAAGCAACTCAGTGATGCATCACTGAATTCCTTCTGTTTGTTAGGAGTCTTCTTTGCTTGGATGTCTGTAATAAAAATAACAGAAATCACAATTTTCACCGAGCTACCACCAGCATAGCTCTTGGGATCACTGAGGTACTCATGCCCCACCATCACGACAAGGGGCAGGTACCTGAAATAGCTGTTATGTTTGTGAAACTCCACCTTCCTCATTACTGTGTGAGGTATTGTTGATGTAGATAAATGATTTTCCACTATAAACAAAACTACAACTTTAGTAATTTAAAGTAACAGTGATATGTAAATTGTTGAAACACTAGTGCAGCTGTTATTGACAATATTATGGCAGCTGGAACTGATTCTAAATCACAAATACAAACAGGACTCACCACACAAAATGCAGTTTTCATGGCATCTTTAAATTAATATGTGAAACACTCAGAATGCATTATATTAACAATCACCATAATATTTTTACATATGACAATATATTTTCATGTAACACATTTTGAAGTAGACTCACAGAGTTGTGCTGCCTTTATCCTATCTTCCTTTGTCTCTGGCAAAAGATTTATCTGCAGACTTGATTTCTGAAGTAGAGCTGCATCTTTAGCATCCCTTGCTTTTAGCTCTTTGCTCCTTTCCTACAAACAATGCTCATAATGAATTTAATATTTAAATTTTTCTGTCATAATTATAATTATCTCACGGTAGTGACTTGAAGCTGCTAATTCTAAAGTCCATCACTGGACATAATCCTGACCTAGTTTCATTCTCATATGATTTTTACAATCTCTCTTAACCATACATTTTAATATGAGCACTTATGTCACATGTAACATGAATCACGCGAGGCCGAAAAGGAAGACAAACATGACGTCTTTGTGAGGCAAGTTTTTCCACAATGTAAGACTTGAGGTTCTCACAGCGGTGAGTATGAAGATTTCTGTCTTCTGGGTTGTTCCGCTGTGTGGTCTGGTCGATGTTAACAAACGTTTCAGAGGCCATACTGCCTCCATCATCAGGGCGATGACGGAGGCAGTATGACCTCTGAAACGTTGGTTAACATCGACCAGACTACACAGCGCAATAACCCAGAAGACGGATATTTTCCACAATGCTTCACAAAGTCTGCCTACAAATGAATTTAAGAAAAGAAAACTTCCCTACAAAATCAACATAGAATACACTGCAGAATTTTGACAGGGAAAACAAAGACTGAATACTATAGATGTAAAAATTATCTTAATGAGAGAAAATTCTTTTTAAGTACAAAAGTCACTTGCCCTGAACTGCTGTCTAAGCACACAGTTGGCTGCATAGTCATCTTGCCAGACTTTCTGTCGCTTTGCTGTTAACTTAGCGAGAGTTGGCTGCATAGCACCTGCTTGACTTTTATCTGTATAACCATGTTCCAATTTGAACATTGCATCATCATACAACCGCTTTGATGTATTCTTATCCTCAGGTACAACTTGCTCATTCTCTTTTGGGTCCCAACGGTTCTCTTGCCGTCGTGCACCTGACACGATTATATATTCACTTGTCTGCAAAATATAAAATCATTCATTATGAATATAGTTATCTGTTGATAACAACTTGATGAATGCTTGTTTAATGTGGATAAACAATGCATAGCACCAGCAGTCACAAGTGTACTAACAGGACTATGGAGATGATTAATAATGGGGGAAAAAAAACTTTATTTAATTTTATTCTTGTTGCAGTGTTGTGTTGTACATGAAATTCTCATATCAGAATACACTAGAAATAGAAATATATTCATAGTCGCTATGTCTATGAGAGACCATGACCATGATATTTATATAATAATAATAATAATAATCCGTGGCGTAACAGCCCTCTGAGAGCCAAAGCCGACTAGCTGGCTGCTGGCCTCACGTTCACATGCCTAAGCAGAGGTGAACGATCATCCAACCAGATATAGGGTGACTTGTGGTCAGCATGACTAACCCCCAGCCATTGCTAGTTTTCATGACCGGATTACGCTACCCATTGCAGCTCCCCAATTTCCTCACGATGCTGGGTTGCCATCGGTCCCGTACACTGGTCAAAAAATCCCATGAGAAATTTCTTTCCCCTAGATTCGAACCAGCACACATTCTGTATCACCAGTCTGAAGCATGATGCCTCAGACCACGCGGCTACGGCACAGAATGATATTTATATAATAAGAAATTTAAAAAATTCCTCAAACACTAGCTGGTCATAAAAGTATTATGGTGTAACTTACCTTTGGCTCAGTTTTTATTTCAATATAGTTTGGACAAAGATGACATCTCATTCTGAAGCTCCATATTGGGGTAGTGATGTACTCACCAATTCTCTTCTTCTCAGCATTATAACTGCAACAAAATAGGTGGGTGCTTATTGAAATAAAGAAAACTAATTATACTGTTGATGGCTTGAAGATCACATTAAGTTTCACTTTATAATTGATATATAAAAACATAAACTGAATACACAACTATGTTAAACATAAAATCATTAAGTGACTTATAACTACTTTAGTAGCACAGATAAGCAAATTAAAAAATTGAACATGGATGGTTTACATCAAATTTTGTTTAAAAAGATTAGAAATTTTACTAGTTCACTCACCGAACACCCATGCCAATGTGATTTCCACACCCATTGCACCAAATGTTGAATGGCATTTCAAAGCGAATGATAAGTATACCCATACCAATTTTTTTAGCACGTTCCCTGAGGGCATGGGTTCCCAAGAACTTGTTGAGGCCACCTTTCTTGGGGTCATAGTCAGGTGGGTAATAGTGATTGGTACCTTTTCGTTCTCCCATTCTGATTTATTTACAGGCTCTGTAAGTTAACAAACAATATTATCTTCACAGTAGAAATCATACAATATAAAAAACTCCAAATTGTAAATGTTTAATGTATTATTGTCACTGTTTCTAAAGCTACAGTGATTAATGGCATGGAAATTAATAGGATGTGGACAAACTGTTGTCTTTATAGTCTAAAAAATGATTTGGGAATTTTTATAAAATATATGACATTTTACTCTTCATCCATTTTGGGTTTGTAGATTTGCATTGACTTCTTTGCTGTATGTCTTATAGAGCTGATGGATGTTGATATGGTAATTATGATCTAATTGTCCTATTTTTAAGCACTGCATAGCATATATTTGAGGCAACTGTGAAAAATTACAATAAAGTAGAGAAGATGAATGACTGTGTGCCTTAAGTCAAATATTTTCTGAATACAAAGAAGATGCATTATGCATATAACACTAATTACAAAGAATCACAAATTAACTCAGATTCACCCACTACAAAACCAAAAGGAGTTTGATTAGCTTTCCAAGAATATGTTTTTGAAAGGGGGCTATACCAACAAAACCCCAAAGTAGTTCATGATTCTAGTGTAACAAACAGTGAATAAGATGAACCAAAACCTACAACAATCGGTAACTGATTGAAACACATGCAGAAAATGTTCACCATAATATCAATTTTACTGTCAAATTCTACCAGACACTCATGCTGGCAGATCAGTTCCACATGAGAACAACTATAACAAATCTACAAATGTGTTGAAAATCCAGATCAGTCTGACGTAAAGTAAGGCCATGCCACAGCTCAAGCAACTAGTCACTTGCTTAACATTGTGGAGGCCTGGGTTCACACCCAGGTCAGTCTATCTGGAAATTGTGAGAGACAAAGTGGCATTGTGCTTGATTTCTCTCAAAGTCCTTCAGTTTCCTCTGTCAATACTATTCCGCCACTGCTCCATAATGACTCGTGTATCATCTGCGGAATGTGCAATAGGCTCATTACAGGCCCAGTTCCACAGCCTCACCCATTCACAACAATAAAGGAAAATTATAATGTAATCCTTACAACTGGGTTTGATATTCAGGAACTGCTAGAACTGTATTCTAGTTGGATTTCGTAACTCTGGTACAATTAAGTAACGTCGTAACCCTAAATTCGTAATATGCAATACGATCTGACAATTTAAAGACATTATTAAAATGTTACTCAGTTTAGTCATATAAGAAGGCAGTGGTCAGCTATAACCGTTTCTAAAGTTGGGCTATATTTACAATTACTAGGCCTTAATTGTAACACAACTATTCTAACCTAACGAAGCTTGTAGCCTGTCACAGAGTTTGGGTTTTATTTTACTGTAGTTAGTAAAAATTCAAGCGGACCTACCTCACACACAGTAATAGACCGCTGTAATCTGAAGCTGTACTATAATTGTAAAACGGGGGGTCCAATTAACACACGAAATGTACCAACCCAACTTTTATATACATCACTTCATTGATAATCTACACCAATACACATTTTGTAATCACAATTACCAACATGACAACGCTGAATATAATATAATTGAGGTGTTGCCTATCCTGCAGTAGCCACCACAACAAGGCCAGCAGGTTATTTTTCGATCGTGGCCATTTAATGATGATGTTTCCTAGTATTGTTGGGCACAGTTACCACGGATTATTTATGATCTTGAGGTTTTCATACAACTACCTGTATGTAGATTAGCCGTCCTTTGCTCCGAGGCCAGCCACGTGCCGAGTCAGGGTAACACTATCACTCATTCTATGGTGCAGGAAATCCTTTGAAAAGTCAATTATATACCTGGTTGGCCAAAGATTAACCCACTTTTTTATATAACCCGAAGGTTCATCACCATGTCCAGAAAAGCTCGCCACCGGACTCTATCACGAGCTTCGTCCAGGTCCGAGGCACTTTTAGACATTTTGCAACAATGTTTTTATGGTAAGGGATTGCAAGCCCCACGTCCAACCCCCAAGCTGGAGGACATTCCCTTGACATAACATGGGTCCAGTCAGGGTCAAAATGGGAGGATTCACAGATTACAGTTCTCCCTTAATTATCACTTGTAACGAGTGATGGAGGGTATGGGGGGGGGGGGGGGGGCATGTACTTTATAGCGATGGAAAAATCTTATTACTCTAGAAAATGGGAGGATTCTTCAAGTTCAACTGCTACCACAGGGATGGAACAACTTTTAAGGAAAGTGATAATGTTAGCAGGATATACTCAAGCAGGCTATCACTATCATCCAAGAGTCAATTTGCAACTACATTTACTAAACTCGATCAAATCCATTATTGAGATTGCAGTCCACTAGTGCTAAGTTATCAGACATTTGGTTTTACTTGCGAAGTCGTATTATGAACAGAGTACAAGTGTTTGTATGTGGTGGGGTTCCTGCAAATGATTGTTTAATTTAAATCTACACAGGCATTTAACAAGATATGAGTTGCTTGAAAATTACCAGAAATAGCTACTAAACTTAATGAAAACAACAGTCATTTCCATAAGAACTTCTAGCCACATTTGAGATCTCATATTTAATTATTTATGAAAACTACGGCCAAGCACTTAAAGCAATTCCTTTTTGCAGTAACAAGCTGGAAAAAGAACATTTTGGATGCAAGGGAGTGGGAGTGGGTGAATAAAAATTATTAGCACTGTATTATATTGTGAACATCATATATTATAAAATCATTTTTTCAGTTCTATTAATTTACAGTGCTGCAAAATTTTTTGAGAATGGTTTCCATTCATTTTGTCTTATTGTGAAAAGCTGCAGCAAGACAAATAGATAGACCCTGAGGAGAAATAATAAAAGAATAATTATTTTTATACAGAAATTATTTCTACTGGTTCTATATAAATTTTACTTTTGACTGCTCCACAAACATTGCATTGCCTTAAAAAATATAGGTGTGTTATATTATGCAGGAAATGGGCTTAAGAAAAATTAGTCTTTATATTTAATTTACAAACAGATCAGAAACAGAATTCTATGCATAAAAAGAAAGGATTTACATTCATGCTTTAAACTGGCTGTTGTGTAGATACAGAAGCAATAACAATGTCTGTAGGCATAAGTAATTAAGCAACATCAATATACATATGGACTAATGTTACCTTCTAATTAAGGTACCAATGCAGAGAGTCAATCATAGTTCTGTGGATGAAGGAGTTTTGAAAATGCATAATTTGTGAATGAAAGTATGTAAAAAATTCCAAATACTCTTTCTTTGACTTAATTAAGGAATTATGAAGGCCTTGGTAACACATCCTGGAAATTTAAACAAATATACTGAAGATATTTAGTGTGTAATTTAGGACAAATAAGTTTTTTAAACCATCCATATAAACATAATTACCCATATTACTTCAGTCTTATTTTCCTCTCATACCAAAGTCATTTGTCAATAGGACAGAAGTAAATATCTGCAGAGTGATCAATTCCTAACATCATTCATTGTGATTTGAAATGTTTGATTAACACATACATTTCACATTAACCTTCTATATGATAATTATCATATTAATAAATCAGAATTTGTCACAATCAGTTTTAGGAACAATATAAAGCCTCTTGCATATGGAATTATGCAATTTTACCAGATAGAATGGTGTAACACTTATGTATGAATGATGATCTGGTGTTACAACCTTGCAGAAATATATTACAGAACAAGCCTTGCACCCTATTATTAATAAATTACAAATACAAGAGAAAATGTTGAGAACAAAAACATATATAATACATGAACAGTGCACAGGTGTTACCTTGTACAATGTGATCATAAAACATACTTTGCAATTTATTATATGGGCAATGCAAACATGTTTGAGAATGTTAGAAATGTATAACTCTCACAATAAATAATAGGAGAAGCTAATGCAATTGGTGAAGAATAATAAGACACCATGATCTGAACTCAAAATCATAGGAATGGAAAATTTTAACTCCATGCACTACGAAAACATAAAATATGGACTCTCACTTGTGCAATTCGTACTCAAGGTGTAAGAAAGGAATTTAAATGAATTTGCAAGTTTTGTATATCCTGCAGGCTATATGCCCAAAACTACAGGTTTCTTAACCTTCAAATGTCTTTGTCACCTTCATGTTTCATGCTACTAATAACTAATTTTTCATATTTAGCACCATAACTTACACTTTCTGTAGTTCATTCACAAGTAAAAGAATGGAGAAAATGTAGCGATTATAAATCCATGAAAACATTATTTTTTCTTGTTGTAAAATGTATTTGTATTGTGACCACCTCATATTGCTATTAAATTTTCTTTTGAGCACTTTTGATTCAGTGTTCAACATTATTTGTAAGAGTTTTATTATTACTTTATGTATCAGACTTCACCTGCAGTGCAGGGAAACAGTTTCTCATGTGCAAGATTTAAATACTGTATATTATCAGTTTACAAATATTTTACAAAAAGTTTCTTTACATAAATATATATACCACCATTTTAAAAAGTGTGTTCACTGCTTTTTAAGATATGCTATTAAAGAATTAATTTACACATACTAAATTGTGGGTAAATGTTCTACAAAACTTTTCCTTACTAATTTATATAAGAAGTTTGTCATTTGCAACAATAAGTCAATAAAATATTCATACTGTCATTTACAGTAGCCATTCAAAATTCTCTCTATGGAAAGTCTACAGAAAGCCAAATTACTTTATTCATGATTCACAGGTTTAAGAATGAGGGAGAAATTAACAATTACCTTTCATTCATCTTCACAGTTCACACCATTCTTTTAATAGAACTATGATTACCTGTGACAAGTGAACTTGGTGCCATTAAAATGTAATTAGTACTCCTTCACCTAAGAAATTTTTATTAATTTTATATCTTCCAACCCTTCATCAGATAATGCCACTTAACTGTTTTCCTTTTCCATGTATTCTATGAAAGCTCTAGAACCTGAAATAATTAGAATTTCAACCTTCTTCAATATTTTATAAATTAGGCTAAAAATAAATTTTCTATCTCGATTCAGCATAAACACAGCAAGAAAGATGTAACAAAAATATGACAAAAATGCTTTTATCCTTGCTCAAGTGTGTCAATTAACATTTTATCAGAAATAACAAGTGTTATTAAATTAGCAACTATCTTTAAGATGAAGTGAACACTATTTAGCCTACAGGATTAGTGTGAGTCAATAGATAATCCATAAATATTTTCATGCCTTGTGGACATGGGTGCTCACCTTCATATATGCTGATGGAGTTAAGTAGACACACACTTTCATTATGCTACCGGAGAAAGCTGGTACATGAGGAACTGACTGGGAGTCCCTCTTCTTAACCATGATCACACGCGTAGTTTCCTGTATTTCTAAGGAAAATAAGAATTCCTATTATGGAAAAGAAATCAACCTGGAATTTCTTTTATCTTTGACTTTTAAAAAACATTGCATATTGCATTCTACAGTATTCTCCCAATTGATATTTCAGTGTTAATTTACAGGAAATTAGTTCATTTTATTCTGTATGCACATTGTTAGTATACTCAGTCTGATAGCTTCAGTTTTCATGCCACTGCCCAAAGGCCCAATCATGTGTGTCTCAACCAAGGAGAATCATATGTATTCAGTACCATCCGAATAAAAAGTAAATACACATTTTGTAAAGAAATGATGGTGCAGTGACTCAAATGAGCAGAACCTGCCAGGTCTTCAGGGGCTAAAGTAACTTCTCACTTCATCAGCAATACCATAAGACAAATGTTTGCTTTAATTGAAAGGTATATGGTAAGATTTCATAGCTACCATAACTTATTTCTGGCAATATGTTTCTGCAACTTTTTAACATAACATAGCTAATTAAGTAGTCTTTTAATGATATCACAATAATTTGCTCATTAACTTCTAAATTAGTTATTAAATTCAGGAACATTTTCACTCTGAAACTCTTAAATATACAATGCAAATGCAAATAAGATTGATATCATTGAAATTTATGACAATCCAACCAAGAAGTTTTCTAGTGAATGGTTCACACATGCTTGTCTTCAGAATTAAAAGTGAAAACAGGTCAATCTTTTACTTTCTCAGAATGAGTGTAGGAGCAGTTAGTCATTCTGATTTTTTGACAAAATTTACATCCAGAAGTGAGGATATTATTTCCTTCTGCCTGCTGTGAGAATGAGTCTCATATTTTCATAGCTGTTTGGAGCCAACTACATTAGGAATTGTCTTGTACACAACAGAGTACCTTCATTGGTGAAACTAATTAGAATACTTGCCTACTATGCCAAGCCACAGTTTTTCTGTTATGTATGAACACTGCATCAATTGCCGTCTTTCCTCGTAAGATGAGCAACAGAGAGACTTCAGCAAAGTCATGGGAGTTTTACATTTACTTACCTATGTTACGGGAGATACTAAAATGTTCCCCATTGACTTTAATACATTCCCCACCCTTAAACAGGTTCTGATTCAGGTGCTGTATTTGTTATCTGGACATAGACACTTGGAGACGAATGACTTCTCCCTCAGAGTTCTTCTGTGTGGGTACTGATTAGACATCAGTTTTTAAATATACCCAATGAATGAAGATGCCAGGTAAAGAAATTAAGTCTACTGGTAAATAAATCACATGCCTGCAAAAGTACACAACTGTGGTTTTCTAAGGCCAGTAGTTACAGTATGTTGTCAATGGTTCCTCAATTACATCACATGAATGTATTTTGATAACTGGAATCATGGTCAGCAGTTCTGAGATATGATATATTTTTCATTTCCATTGCACTACTTCTGGAAACATACTCAGAAACATGGCAATATTCAAAATAAATTCTGAAATACAAAGTCAATTCACTGCCTGTTCTTAAGCCCTTCAGATGCAGTTTCACTCTCAATCAGGTGATTGGACCTCATTATCATAATGATGTGTATTCCAGCACCTGCTACGATATTCTGTTTGTCTATTTCTCCATACGAACTGTAGTAAATTCTTACAGAACTTTTAAATTTCACATAAGTTTTGGACATTTAATTCTTCTCTGATTCTTGTATTTGACTGATGATCTACCTATGAAATACAGAATAAAGGTCAGCTTCACTGATCATGATTTGGCAACTGATTACTATACTGGTAACATGAATAGCCAGTAGAACTTGAACAAATTTCTTACAATATGAAGGGCTAAAACAATTACAACTGACACATTTCGCTATCCAATGATTTATAAATTTGTACAAGAGAAAGACTCTAAGTTAATTTTGAAGGACGTTCTATAATACTGGAATGTTTTTCTGAATTCCTTCTTCAAAGTTCACCTAATGCCACAAATTTATTTTGAAGAGTACATTACTAACTTTAAGAACAATCTTAGATGGGCCAAATAAATACACGCCTTTTTTCCTCTACATCAGTGTTCCACAACCATATGTTATAGTCAGAAAAAGGCAATATCTTATTTTTTTTATCTCTAAAGTAAATTTTAGTCTGTGAAGTTTTCCATTTCTCTCCTCATTTTGCAGCACTTCCATGTTTACATCATACTGCCATTCAAACAATTTTCTTTCTTCTGCCAAAGCCTCTCAAATATCTTCAATACATAAAACAATTCCAACATTTCATGCCAACAAAATATGCACCTGCCAAGTCTGCCACACGTCCTCTACCTGAAATCTGAAATATCATTAACCTGCAATGGGCTTTAAGACTATACATAGATCTAAATTAACAGAATTACCTCTAAGAAAGATGCCAACAAGTAACATTTTTATAAATATTAATACTGTAAGTTATTGCCAATATTCACTTTGTACTCAGAATTATAATCGCAAATGTAAATGTACAATGACTAAACAGAACCAGTATTTCCTCTGATATGAGTTCCTATACTTCAGGCTATCAAATTCACTGTCATAAATTTACCCATTTCAAATGTTTACAAATTAACAAGAACTGTATGTAATAAAAATTTAGCAAATATGTGTTCCGATCTTCAGTTCTTTTACTAACCACAGCTATTATACAAATGTTCCTTGGTCACTCATGAATGTCAGATGGCATAATGCAATATTAATTTGTGTGGATACAGTTCCACATCTCCTGTTTATTTATATTCTGCTCAGTGCCAGTCTGAAAATGATGTTAAAACAAACATAAATACTGCACATACAGAACAACAAAATGCTAACGATGTGAAGATTTTTAAGACAAAGGCAAAATATGTACTGCTTGCTGTTTATGTTTTCATAGTGCATTACCACACAGCTGATTGTCTAATTAGGTCCAATAGTTTCAGTAGTGGTAACATACACAGAGCTATATTCTATACAGAGGCATGTCACATTCTCCATCATATTTCTAACATCCTCACAATAATGCAGCATTCAAAAATGTATTAAAAGAAAAAATTCCAAGGGCATTCATATTCCCTCACTTTTCCATTTCCCTCTCCATTGAACACACTTATCTATGTTCCAGGAACAAACACAACACAGGAAATGGCTAGCAAGTAGCACCATTTCAGATACATCAAGCTTACCAAAGGCATGGTCACTTAATGTACAATGTTTGGATCCAATTTGTAAGCCGTGAAGAACTGTTCTAGTATGTAATCTTGATTCTTTTGACACCTATCTGATAATAGCATCAATATAAATTTATCTCTAGCAACAAAAACAAACTTTTAGGGTATCAACAGGATGGTTCTTAGCATCATATTTGACTTGATTAACAAAGGAAGAGGATCCACTGTAAATGCATATTTTAAACGACCTTCACCTTGTGCACCTTGAAACAGTTTTAAGACACTTCTACAAATAAATTATTATTGTTTAATCAGTTTTCTTCTCTGGCATCTATTACATCACGACACATTTCATTTAAGTAATTCATTATTATAATTATTACTATATTATTTTGTTTGTACTTGAAACATTCTTCCATTCATATTATGCTGTAACTCAGGATTGGAATTTATTTGATTGCCCGGTAATGCAGCCTGATTTTGCTTTACTATGCAGCACCATTGCATTGTAACATTTTGTTAATAATTTGAGATGCATGCTGTATGTTCATATCATAAATAAGAAATATTCCCATGTTCAAAAAATGCAGTTTCTTACATGAAAAAGCATGAATGGCAAGCAATTAACTTTGATGATACAATGCAATGGGACTTCAAAAGAAGGGGTTGAAAAAACCAAGTTCAACCAACATAACCATTAGGGCTGGACAACTGCACTCTTGCAGTCTGCAGTCACAAATAGATTTCTATAATCCCTACACCAACCACAGTTCTTGTTGGTTGCCATGTTAAATTAACATTCAACTGTTACGCATAACAATTTTCCCGAAGTCATATGTAAATGCCACATACTACAGGATGAAGATAATCTATGACTGCAGACATTTTCAACTCCAAGAACTTATTCATTACAGTCCTGTGGTCTTCTGGGTAGTCACTGTGTAGTCCTGTACGAGGTTACCAATATTTCATAGGAATTTTATCACCTCTATCATTGGAAGTCAGTTTAAGTGAGGCTAGACAAAAGCTTGCTATTAAATGTTAACCACAGAAAGACAGTGCTATTATCCAGAAGACCACAATCCAAATTTTCACCATCAGAATCATATTCATGATGATAATTTGCACTGAAATCTACTTTACATGATATGGTGGCACATTAAGACACCTGAAAAGAGTAATTACTCTCAATTTTCTATGATACAGTTATCCATTTTATAATTATGGAAAATATGTATTCTTGCCACAAAGATACCATCAAATCAAACATGAAAACTGACCAAGTTTTGTGGATGGAATTACAGTCTTCTGTCCCTATTTAGATTTTAATACACCTTCCTACATGCACAAAGTATCCAAAAGCAAACTGCATAAGAAAGATATTAATATTTACCACTTTTAAAAAGTGAATGCATGTAATAACCTGAACACTCATAATACATAACGAAACTTCAAAAAAGTAGCTTCTAGTAAATCTCAACAAGTGTGACTTGAATTTCAGTAAAAATGGGAATTATAAAAATATTTGGGATGTAAAACAAGATTCATGTACTATTTAGAAGCAATGGCAGACTGGACAATTTCATTTGAATGCAATCCATGTCAAAATTATAACAAAAATTTAGTAACAACGCAAATTAAATTGTCACAAAAATATGTAAACAAATTGTAAAATGACTACTTTGGGCATAATAAAATAACAACATGCTGCTTGCCACATACAGTGTAACATAAGCAACACCAATTCACTGATTTATTCTGATTATAAGAAGTTACATAAGAGTTTAATCTTTCAGTGACTGGCAACTTTAAAATAAATAACCGAGAATATAAAAAACTAGTGATTATTTACTCTGAAGATGAAAAAATAAATAATTTGTACCTGTCTGGAATTAAAATTACTGGGTAGCTCCTTACTTACCTTTAGTCTTTAAAACAATAATAAATAGTAAATAATTGTTTTTGTGACAATAATAAAACATTACCTGTTTATGCTTCTAAATGAATCAATAGCAAAAATTAGCGAGTAATTACTGATTGAAAAGTTATAAAACAGGAACATTTACCACTTAGTGTTTTGAGTTAATACAAAATGGCAGTAATTACTTGCTACTAGCATATGAGTCAATAAAAGCATATACAAATAAATTACTACTGTGGACACAAAAACTTTAATATAAGTAACTCAGTACTTACTAAAGAGTTGACAAAAACAGCAACATTTATTATTGTACATTCTATTCAAAAAGTTACCAAATTTGTTTAAAAAGGGATTCAATCACTGCACAGGAGTAAACAGCCAAACTCTTGCTTCTCCAGTCACTAAACAAATATATTTATGTTAAATATACTTCAATCCAAAATATCATTCACCTCCAATGTATAGGCCAATCAATACTGTCACTCACTCTTCCTTCTGTAAATTCAATGCCAAAAACAATTTTGTAGCATCGCGACAGCTATTCAACTGTAATCACTTTGTAATTCAAGAGTAAATTTAATGGCATATACCAATTTACACTCTTAATGAAGAAGACGAAAACAGTATTTAACCCATGTATATGTGATAGGGAAAGTACAGAACAAAAGTGCTTGAATGCATATTAGTTTGCAATATATAATTACAGAACAAAAGGAAACAAACACACACCTACCTTTCTAGGTTCCCAATGGGTCATCTACTGTCCTGAATTTCTCACAGGCATGCAATGATTCTGTTCCAGGTCTTGCATAACCAGAATTTTGCCCAAGTCAAAACTGTTACTGTAATATATGTATGTATGTTTGCACTTTGAAGAAGAAAGAACATGAAATGAAATGAAAAAAAGAAAAGAAACAACTAACATTTACAACAATGAAATTTCATTTACATTTTAATCCCAGTGCTATTCTTGCTCAGTGAAGGTAGCATTTTGGCAGTGGATGACAAAGGACTTTATTTGCAGATGAGGAAGGGATTAGACAGGCATTACATCATCAGGGTCGACATCAATTGGTGGCAAGGGTACAGAGGAACAATTTGTGTAACTCAAGGAGCATCTGTATATTAACATTTATATAATGCTTGCATATGTTCTAAAGACTAGACATTCAAAATAATCTGCACATTCTGTAACCATATATGGGAAAAACCAACTTGAAAACATAATTCATTGTAGTAATTTCAGTGCAGATGCAAAACATCCTGTCAGTTAAGCGAGGATATCCTTAAATCATTCTAAATGTAAGCCTTTCATAATATACTTACAACGGAATGTAGGAGATGGTCTACTGCAACCAATTTCCCATTTTAATGAGATCATGTTTTCTCATGAAATGTCCTACAAAATTAAACACTTTCTTTCAGAATTGTCTCTGTCTGGATAAAACAGAAGTTTAGTGTATAATTTTATGACTCAGTAGATACTTTTTGAGTCTCATCCATATTCTATTCAGAAATGAACAGGATGATATTAATCCAAAACTAAATATTGTATAGTGTCATTACGTAAGAATGTCCAGTGAAATGCATAAATACTTCCGGATCTTATTTCTGACATCATTCCCAGTCAGAAATATCATATGAACATGGGTCCAATTATCAATGGCTACAGAGGGATATTTGAAATTCAGGATGATTTAAAATATAATTACTTTGAATTAATACAACATGTTTTTTATGTAATCCTAAACATAAAAATCCAGCGGAATGAAGTCCAGTGATCATGTCTGTCAATCTATAGTCACCATGGCCAATCCATCAGTCAGGGAACTGCTCTTCCAGGTACTACATCACGAGTCTGAAGTGTGGCAGTACCCTGTCATGCTGGGAGCACATCTGTAAAAATGTTCTACATCTGTTAAAATCATGCTGAATTTCTATCCATAAATCTGTAATTGTTGATAACCAAAACCAAGTTCCAAAAACATTTCTGGCCGAGAATATCGTCAGGAATAAGAGCTTTTAAGTTTTTACATAAAGTCACCGGACATAATGTATGGTTACATTCTCTGGAATTGGTTATGTTCTAAAACTGTTTGCTGTCTAAATATGTCTTGTAAGGTTGGTCTAGAGATAAAAATGGATAAAAAGAAAAGTACATACGGATTCTAGTATGCATGTATGTATGTGTATAAAAAACAACAAACAAAGAAACAGAGGAGATCACTTGAGAGACCCAGGCATAAATGGGATTATAATATTAAAAAGGATAGGGTGTGAGCATGTGAATATAGTAAGAAGATGGTAATCTTCTGGGGAGTATTGACATGTTGTCTGGTGGAAGTTTACTACTCTTTCATAGATCCTTGCTGCCACCATCATCAGCACAACAAGGAACTCTGAAACCAGACTACATGGTGTTACAACCCAGAAGACATCCACCTTTATATTAACTGCTGTAAGAACCCCTAATCCTACTGTGAATCAACAGTAATGTAGCCTCAAGGGAACTTTGCAGCACACTGTACAAAGATAGATGGATAATGATATAAAGAAATCAGTATGTAGGTAATCAGAAGACATTTAAGACTAATCACTTTTCTAAATTAATGGGAAGAAGTAACTTGCACTAGTAACGATTCTTAAACTTACTAAATTAATGCAAAAATGTTCTCAACCTAGGAGGCAGAGCACCAATATGAAACTAAAAACAATGTGTGAGTATTAAACAATTTCTGTAAAAATTTAAAATTACTGTATGAATTTTGAAATATTTCTACTATTTCTCTCCTTGTATCAGTTCCAATACTTACAGTATTTATATACAAACAGGGTCACTTCTATTACAAAGTTTTGGTCTGACAATGGGGTGCAGCCCACAGCATGTCAGTTCAGCTTTCTTGTTTGCAAAATTCAAAAAATAAAACATTGTACTCACACACACACATGATGTCGTTTTCATTACAAACTTTTTAAGTGAAGGAGACATATTGCAGGTCAGTCAGCCTGCATCTGTGTAACGATGAGCTTATGCCACTTTTCAGTGCACCCAAGTCATGAACTAATTACAAGCAACTTAATTTCAAATGAAAATAACCATTTATGAAATGAAGGAGAAATACATACAGGAGTATTTTGTTCTATAAAGAACACATACTATGCATTTATGCTTTTTTACATCAATGGCACACTGAGGTGAATGTTACTAACAGGATGACATTCACACACACACTTTACTACAACTGCAAAATTTTGACAAAATCAACTTCCTAGTTTAAACTAAGCTGAAACTGATCAATTAAACTTTCCATATCACTAAGCCTGCAATTAATTTGGAAATTACAGGTTTCTTGAAAACCTTCTGATTATACTTATTCATTCCACTGAACTATCTTTTTTGCCATTTTCACATTATATGAGGAGAACCATACAAAATTTTGGTTTTTATGCATAAACTCTCTGAACAAGGCGAAAGAAACACTTAAGGACAATCTATGAAGATGAATCACACTTTCTAAACTTTGTATGTTAATCTGCCCTGTATGCATACATGCAAATATTGGTTTTGTGTGTGTAAAATGTAATGAATCATTGCCACAGACCTGCACAAAATAGTTAAAAGAAAACCTATGCAAGCAGTAAAAGAGTAAATTATTATAAAATATCTGAATATAGGAACTGCTGTCTTGCACAGAGCATACTGTTCTCATTCACTCTGCTCAGTGTCTGTTTAGAATGTACAATAGTGGCTGCTGAAGTCATATAAGAAACAAGAAAATAAATAAAAAATAAAGTATCTGATTCCTTGACTGGAGTCTAAAGCATCAAATATCAATGCTTACGTTCATTTTTATGTAACAATTACAGTTCCCACTTAAAGTGGGAATGTCTTAGGAAGAAGTAACAGGTACAATTCCGTTCCTTGTTCAATAAGAAACAAAGAAGACAAAACGTTTTTCAAAATGAAAGATGTCCTTACCTGTATAAAAGTTCCTCGACAAAGGTATAAACTGAGAAAGACGATAAAAGCTTTAAAAAACACAATTATCTCAGTGCACTACCTTAAAATGTAAGGTTTCTGTCCAGCCCCAAAAATTAATAATCTAACAAATCATATTTCAGAATGGACATCTGTAAAAATGAACTAGCGTTATGATCACTACCAAGAACTTTTTCAACCCCTAACATAGTGTAGACCAGTTACTCAACACTCCAGGAGGAGCAAAGCTCGTAAGAGCTTGCTGCACATCCAGAGGTCAGGATGTCAGTATACTTCTCACAGCCTCATCTAAGGCTGAGTCGGTGTTTCCAACACCACTGTCCTCATGGTGGTTCACAACCTGCTGATCCACTGTTTTACAAGTCGCACTGTTACGTTTATGCCTTGCTCTTACCATTTCATTAGCACTACCACTGCATGGTTTAGAGGAACTGGCAGCAGATTCTGTCCGCTCTGCATGTGGATATTGCCTTGTATCCTCACAGTCTAAACCTTCATCCACACCCATTTCAGACGAAGGCGTGGTGGCACTTGGACGAATATCGAAGCCATCTTCCGACCGCTGAAGATTAAGAATGCTGTTTATGGCACACTGTACTTGCGCATTTATGTCGTCATCCTCATCATCCGCACATTCATTCTGCTGAGGCGAGTAACCATGTTTGTGCCGTTTCTTCCTGTGTCCAACTGATGTCATACCATCTACACTTGTATCACAGAATTCTTTCCTCTTCTCCCCAACACCATCTTTACCACACAGAGTCCTGTTAACTTCTTCCTCCAGCCCTCCTCCCTCATCTCTGGGACCACATGCCCCAGACCTTGCCTTTGTTCCCAGAGATCCTGCTGGAGGAAGTTTATGTACAGCATCAACATTATCACTTTGTGGTTGCACTTTTCCCTCTGCCTCTGCATGCTTCAAGTCTAAAGCAACAGAAACACACTCTGTCTTTATACCACCCACAGTGGAGAGATGTAAATGATCTGTTGGCTGCAAAGGTGTTTCTTGTTCTTCCACCTTTACAGCATGTGTGAGAGTGGAATTTCCTGTACTGGCAGCAGCAGAAATATTATTAGGACCACAGTACACCGCTAGTTCCTTTTGTATCTCTTCCCACTCATCATAAGCTTGGTGGAGATCTTTGTTACTCGCAGGACTATCAAGACGCTCTCGCTTCACAATGGTGAACTTCCTTTCCTCCTCTAGCTCACGTTTGATAGACTCGTTCTTCATGACATCCCGTACCAGCACACGCACTTCTCTCAGTCCATCACCAGTTGTTCCACCTGGCGTTGGCAGCCCTGGTTCTGTCTTGACAGTCGACAGGACTTCTGCTGGAGATGGGGATGATGGCTGCTGTTCAGCTGGCACCACTAGCTCCTCTGTGAAACCAAACAGAATTCAAAGGTAAAAACAAGTGGATGATTCATAAGTCATTATTAACGTAGCAGGAAAATTCAACTGTACAGTCTAATATCACATATCTTCTTGTTCTCCAAGAAACTGAGTGAGTTAATTGCCAACTCCAGCACTCCAGAGTTTTATTTTTAAGATCCCAACTCTTTTAACTGAATATGTTGTCAACATAACAGACCTTTACTTCCAAAGGGACACAGAACCTGCATCACACATATCTGATGCCATCATCTCTCGCAATATGTTAATTTTCTTGAAGAGTTACACCAAAGGCAGTGGTGGCATACAGCACAAACTTATTTTTCTGTAATTAGATGGGCCTCAAAATGTCAAACTTTTTAGAATGCAATGCCAAAGTTACTGTAGATACATTTTGCATTTGCACCTGCATCTTGACACATAAATATACTAAGTATTGATTATGCGCCATTTCATTTGATAAACTTCCAACTGATTTCATATCCTTGTGTTCAGTAAAATATGCAATTTCACAATGATGACAGTAGTCTTTCAGTGTTTATACTTGAAACTGCAAAGAAGACTACTTATATATAACATTTAAAAAATCAAGTGACTACAGGCTTTAACAACCAATAACTTCATACACTCTGCCCACAGAATATGTTTATGGGTTCCAGATAAATCTGAGCAAAACCAATTATTTCCTTACAGATCATTAACTATCTGATCTTTGTAATAGAGAAGTGTTATGTTTTGAGGTAAGAACTTAATTTTTAAATATTATTTTGACAACTTTGGCTTCAAAAAGTAAATCTGAAAACATGATTGTAATCATCCCTATAATGTTAATACATTTCCACCAGCCTATATGGTGCAACATCCCAAAAGACAGTATCTTCAACATGTAACCCATTCCAATTTTTTAAAACTCACTAAAATCTCCTTCAGATGGTGCATGTTGCGTGTATATTAAGCGTGACAGTTCTTCAATACACTTCATACTAAACAGCCTGTAAAATACACAGCACAAACATTTATTTATGCCAATGCTAACACTTTTTAAAAAATAGTCAGAGTTGTCATCTACAACTTAATACCTTTAACATGCTGATAAATCAAAATCTGTGCATACAGTTCCGTCTTTCATTGTTATCATGACGTGTTACTGCATCAAACACAAAACAAATAATTTCCCATACGCGAATCTCCAAACCTGTGTTATTTACATCTCAATATGCAACTATTTCAACCAATTCATCCACCATGTATGGGTTTCATACAACACTGCCTTCACATTCAAATTTTGGTTCTGCATTTACAAAATCCTTGGTGTTGCTCCTAATACTACACATCCTGGATTTGTAACGCTGGTTCAAAATGCCTGAGTCAGGATGTGTTCAGTCCTGTGACAGAATGATCAACATTTGTTTTTATTAAAACATGGGCATACATACAATTTACAATCCACAGCAATTCTTTTTCTTACAGTATTGTAATGAACCATCTTTGACGTGGGTTAATAAAGCAAGTGAACCTTTTAAACTCACCCTTTGCCCTGCGCTCTTCTTCCTTCAAGCGTTCTAATAGGCCATGCTCCTCTGCCACGAACATGCGATCGATCATCATCAGCTCCGAGGTATTCACCTCACGCTATCATAAAGAAGAAGGGACATCTTACAAAGATTGCAGACCACAACAAAATGGCAGTCCCATTGTTACTGACATTTTTGGGTGAGCTAATGGACACCATAACGAGGACATTATTCATTAGTGGAATTTAAAATAATAGCAAAAACACGAAAAACATACATTTTTTTTACATATACATAATTTCTACAATGTGTACAAAAAGCAGCATCTTTACATTAAATTAAAGAAGAATGCATACAAGAAAATTACATTACTTTGATTTCAAAACGCTTTTAAAAATCTGATTAAAAGTAATCCTCTACACGAAAGATAGAAACTTGCATTTGCATGTAAGAGCACAGGTATGTGGACAGCATTACAGTATAATCTGCTTAAATAAAACAAACTTACCATGCTTTCCATAAGTAGGAGGTAGCGATATTTATTCATCATCTGGCGAAACTTGTCCAACAGATGTTTGGCAGTTGCCTCAAAAAACTCGTCTGCCTTCTCCAAGTCTTGCTGTGAAAGGAGCTGTTCATTGAACACGTGGTAACGAATCAGGCGCTTACAGGCATCACTTGTACTTTGAAATGGTGTGCAGGTGTCAGGCATGCATGCACCACCCTGGTCTGTCTTGAGCTGTTGCTCAATTCTGCAGCAAGAGGATGGTGATGAATTTGATACATTAGTATGATATAAGGGCATCAAGAACATTAACAGTAAAAACATGCAAACACTAAACAAATATCTGATGCCAGAGGTTCTCAAGACAGTAAAGATGCCAGCTGTGGTCTTCTGGATTAACACTATGTAGTGTTGTAGGTGGTTACCAACATTTTCAAAGAATGTATCACCTCCACCTTCAAAGTTGATATGAACCCTGAAGATAGAATTGTCTTTGCACAATGCACAGAGTTTGTAGCACTGTACCAGGTGACACTGCATCTTTTCTTGCATATCAGCCATTTTGTCTGACATCAATGAAGCGGCAATCTGCGACTGGGGGAAATGCTATTTCTGTGGAAAACTATGTGATGATCCCAGCTGTATCGCATTTGATTGGCCACAACCCCAAATTAGTTTTGGAGATATTTATCTAATTTATAACAAAAGTTGTTTACATGCACCACAATGGCTCCACAACCAATGAAGAGCTTACTGTCTTCAGACATATGACTCAGGATATGGGAAAAGAAAAATTACCACTTCTATCAGCACATAAAATACCAAATACCAAACAAATTTTCAATTACATTTAGAGGTAATACAGTTTCATAATTAACACAGTATTTGATCTCAGGATGAGCATAAGTCACTATTTACCAATTCTACAATATTCTGTTTATACTGATATTGGAATATTACATATTAAAAGCCGGCCATACTTGAATTCAGTGACACAAAAATAGAAAAAAAAAAAAAAAAATCTACATTTATACTTATTTGCCAGTTATGTAAGTGAACTCACAAGTCACTCCTACTGAAAATGGATCTGATGGGGCTTGTTGCCACAGCCGGCCTCTTCCCACTCCCCACTACAGTCATGCCACCCATTACTATTGTAGCAGATGTCCCACTAGGTACAGTAGCCATAGCTGGAGATGATCTACTGGATGTACTTCCTGAAGGTGAGACAGGGGCAACAACAGCCTGGGGTTTTCCACCACTGGCAAGCACCTTGCACCCCAGAACAGCTGGCTGACTGCTAGGCTTACTGGAGCCAGATGGAGAGAATGATTGCTGAACCTTAGTACTTGCTGTTGAAGCCACAAAAATGGGTTGAACCTGTTGATCAAAAGGAAACAGACAAATTTAAAACACTAAAGTTTATTACTTTCAAATCTTCTATTAAATCAAACTGCGTATTGTGATATTTCAATTTTCGTTGTAAGTATATGAACTGCTTTTTTTGTCATATTTATATTTAACTTGCAGAGCTCTTCCTGGCTGTCCTATATAATAAAGTTTGTGACAATCTAGTATTCCATCATTAGAGCATCGGATATTTTCCTTCCACTACCATCAACTGCACACAGAATGTGCAGCAGACACGCCCACCTTTCCTGGTGAGAACAGCTGCTGGCCAGACATTGGTGAAAGTTTGTTTGTACTGGATGCAGAGACAGAGGGTGTAACACCTGGAGATAACTTTCCACTGCAAGCTGAAGTTGCCACTGACAGATGTGGAGAACAGGATGATGATGATTCTATGCATGGTAAAGCAGTCTGTGTGCCAACCTATCATGGACAAATGCTCACATAAACAAATATAGAAGTCCTAGTCCAGAACAAACCATTATCTACATATTTCCTTCAACTGAACTTAATAATGTACAAGGCAGTTAAAAAAAATATAGGCACGGTCTGTAGACACATTACAGCACAATTTACAATACTTGGCAAACATTCCCACCTGAACTTGCAATGGTGATGTCCCCTTTTCACAACTACTGGGCTGTCCTGTGCTCTTGCTGTGTTGTGTCGAAGACACAGGAGTTGTGGGCATTCCAGTTGTCTGCAACATGGGTTGAACGACAGACAGTTTGGGAAGTGTTTGGGTGGCCAACCCAGCTGGCTGCTGAACAAGACTGTCTGATGGTGAAAGGTGGGTACCACACTGCACAGAAATAGATGCCCTTGTGGTGACAGTGCTGGCCGTTGTAGTGGTTGTGGCTACGCTACTGGACGGTACAGGTTTCTGTTGCAGGTTGGCAGGAGTGAGTGGGATGATCTGATTGCCAACCTGATGCTGGTACCGCACAGGCATCTGAGTACTTTGGTGTGGCACCTGTACCAAATAAACAAAAATTCTTACCGGAAAATTTACTTTTATGGGAAAGGCATACATTTACTAATAGGAAAAATCATACAGACTAACTTTATAATTTGATCTTGTGGCCAGGTCATATCATGAAACAATAAAAAGCTGAAAGAAAATTTAATATTCTGTGATGCATCTACAGTGGTGTGTGTAGTGAACCAACAGCTGTATTTGTGATTACGTCCAATGTTTGCAGTGTGTGATTACAGAATATGTCTGTAACATTGCGAGAACAAGCAGACACAAAAACTCAACAAGTAACATAAACAACTGTGAGGTTTCATTTCAGGAACAAAAAGACCGGAAATGCGTACAGTCAACACATACCTGAATATAAACACGTGCATCTGATAGCATCTTAAAATTATACCAACAACATCCACAGTTCACAAATACTTTCAAATATGTTATCATCTACCTTTTACTTTTAATTCAAAACAGAAATATGGTTTATGTATGATGAATAAAAGATAATGTAATAATATAAATCTGTTTCTAACTTACCGCCAGCTGCTGTCGAAGCAGATTGGTGAGATGAGTGTTGGCAGTGCTGATTTCAACTTCCACTTGCGACTTTAGTTTTCCATCAACAGTTGATGGAATGGCATCAGGGTTCTAGATACACCAACAAAATAATGAGGGTGAGAAAGGATTACACTTATATAAAGGTGTTCCATAAAATATTTGCCCAACTTTTGGGCCATTATTCATTGGGTTCTTTAGAGTGAAAAATGCAATACCAACATGGGCTGAAATCCCAACCATTATTCAGCTAAATAATAAATATTAAATAATAATACATAATAATAAATAAATAAATCCGTGGCGTAACAGCTCCAGAGAGCCAAAGCCGACTAACTTGACTGCTGGCCTCACGTTCACATGCCTAAGCAGAGGTGAACGATCATCCAACCAGATATAGGCTGACGTGTGGGCAGCACGACGAACCCCCGGCCATTGCTAGTTTTCATGACCGGATTACGCTACCCATTGTAGCCGCCCAATTTCATCACGATGCTGAGTTGGCACCGGTCCCATACACTGGTCGCCTCAGACCGTGTGGGACAATAATAATAATAATAAATACTTTCATAAAATGGTAGAAAGGAAATAATCATAAAGTTTAAACAAAAGTAGAAATTGTTAAAACATGAGGAATCTGCAACAAGTCTTCTCAAGATATTGACACACACTGATTTTTTGCTTGATTAAAACATTTGCAATACTATATGCATACTACTTCCATGAAACCAAGACATGCAACTCCATTAGAAGAAAATGTTGACAAAAATATATGCAATCTTGCTTGACACTGATTGTGGTGTTCTGTGTTGTTATGCAGTGGAGTCCTGCAAATGGTTACCAACATTTCCAAGAAACATCAGCTATCTTCAGGGCAGACTCACAAGCCAGACGACCAAGAAACATTTTCAATGATGTGAAAACTTCAAATTTCAATACTGTTCTACTTTAGATTCTAATATATATTACCGTTATTTTCATAAATATGGGAAAACTTGTTAGACAATGGATAACCAAGATAAAATGTCATCCATATAATTTTAATCAAAATGTAATGACACTTCTATATGCTAAATGTCACAACATCCCGGAAGGCAGTCTTCTTCATCTACCAGAGAACAGTTTTGTGTACTCACACATTATATGGAAGGGAAATTTGTGAATTTATTGTATTGAAGTCTCTGGTCTCACCAAATGACATGGCACTTGGGAAGTCACCTTCTTCTACTTACTAGAGGCACTCCCAAAGCATGCTGGCCTGGAATTGTAGGGACAATTTTTCCAGTGAGAAGGATGTGTTGCTGCTCATCATACAGTCTGTGCAATGCTGCTTGGTCAACTGCAGTTAGAATCCTCTTTGAAGTCACAGACTGAATCTGTATCTGCACTGCCTTCAAACGCTGAAAAAAATTAAATCACTGATAAAATGGATACTTTTCACACATCACAAAAAATTATATTTTATTCTCAACACATTTTTTCCCAGGTACTCTGCTGCCGATTTACTTCTCAGCCCAGCAAATTTTAGCAGCTCATTATGTTCCACAGCACTACATGGTAATTAAATGAATGGCAAACCATTTATGCATGTTCAAGGTATCGTAAAATTAGCTGTATATACCATCTAATGACAGAGGATGAAAATTGCATGCTTAAAACTGTGTTATGAAACAACCTTTTTTGTTTTCTCAAGGCATGCTTCTAGCTGAGCAAGGTCAGCTACAATAGTCTACACAAAGCACTGGTGAATGACCAAACTCTGATCTGGAAGTAAATGTGTTAATACGGAAATTGTATTGATACACAAGCTCTACGCAGCTGCTGGGCCACATATAGTCTGGTAGATGTTTACAAAAATCAGCACCTCCATCAACAGGTCGCCCTGATGATGGAGGCAGAAAATAGCTCAGAAATGTCAGTAAACTTCAACCAGACTACATAGTGCTACAACCCTAAAGACAGACATCTTAGCAGAACTGAATATCTATATGTGGGTATACGCGGTGAATTTTATCGACCCAATTATTCTAGCTCATGTGTATAAATATTTTTGTACGAAGAAATGGTACACTATGTCAAAGAATGTCTACTGTTCTTTATGATGCTGACCTAGAGGTATGGAAGGTACCATCAAACTGCACTGTAATTCACTTACATGGTATAATGGTTGACTTGGCAACCATATTCAAATCCAGTTTCTACAGAATATTACAAAAACCTAAGACTGATTAAATAAAATAAAAACCAGTATCTCAATATACTGCAACTGACGATATAGAATGCTTGAAAATAAACACCAAAATACTTTTAAAAATTGTACTTTCATAATATAAAACTTGTGAACACAAAGGACCAAATGAAACAAAGAATTAGAGTTAACAAACTATGAATACAAACACTTTAACATACTGGGTGGTAAACAATTTTATAATTGGTTTGATATATGATACCAGAAAGCATGTAAATAAACGAACTACTGTAGAGGGAATGTTTTTGTTTCTCTGTACTACTAAGAATATGGTTATGTACAAGGTTGCATTACTCACCTTCTGGTTTTGGGGTGTGAGCTGAATGGTTTGCACTTTCTGTATAATGCTTTGCATTCCAACTGATGTAGCCTGTGTCATGCCACCTGATATAGTACTGCCCCCAGGTGGTATTGGCACCAGATGTGGCACCATGCCACTCTGGGGTTGTTGCATAGAAACCGTCTGTGATGCGACACAATGGTGTTGCATGCCAGGCTTACTTGTGGAGGGTGGCAGGTGGAGATGCCCACTACTTGTAGACACATCAGCAGTCCCAGTCTGAACACTGAGGTTTGCTGCCACCTTCGACATGACGGACTGATGCGTTGCCATGGTTGTTGCTGTAGATGTAGCAGTACTGCCAACCTGACACAAAATATTTGTTGGGGTGTTCTGCACAACTGGGCAGATAGAGGTCAGAGGTGGAATTGAGTTTGTGTTACTTGTATTACAGCTAACAGCAGACACTTGTACAGACTGCTGCATCAAAGTGAATGGTGATGCAGTAACATATGAGGCATCATTTCCCGTTGTGCGAGTAATGTGTTGTGTACCCTGACACACAGTGTTAGGTTTACCAAAGTTCCTCTCTTGCAGTGGACTCTTCACAGGATCTGTCGATGTGCCAGTACTATTGCACTCTCTGTTTACAATGATGTTAGAAGAGCTTACCACTGGGAGGATCTTTGATGTGCGAGGCTGTTTCTGTTTTTTCTTCTTGCCAGAAAGCACTGCTGTTGTACTGGACTGAACAAGTTTGACAAAATTTGGATGTGTATGCACAATGCTGTCTAGGAATGCTGTCTGAAGGCTGGTGGTGGAGGGAATACCTAAGGAGATAGTCTGTGTCTCTATTGATTGTTGATTCTTTCTTGCGCCAGAGCTGGCAGAGGTTGCTGAAGTACTCTGGTTGACCACTGGTTGGTTGATAAGTCCAATGACCGCAGTAGTACCACCGGTAGATCCGCCTCCAATTGGTGGTGGTGAACCAATTGAAATATTTGAATTGCTTGAGTCTGAACTACACCTCCGCACAGTACTCGCTGTTCCTGTGTTTAAGTGTTGCAAAAGAACTGATGACTGCTGAGGCAGTAACTTGGTGGTCGTATTATTTGTTGCTGTCATAATTGATGGTTTATGCTGGTTATTCACTGCAGTACTGAAAGACTCTGGACTTCCACCTATTAAAATTGTTCCTGTTGGTGTGTTGAAAGCAAGTCCCTGTCCAATAGCCTTGCTTATAGCACTATGAGCAAGATGAAGCTGAGGCATGTTGATTATCCCAGGTGTTGCAGTGTTCTGAGCTTGCTGGAGACATTGGATAAGCTGAGGGGCAGCTAAAACAGACATTCCACCATGGTGTGCAATTAATAATTGTTCTCCCCCAAAGCTACCACCTCCTGAGGTCATCACCGGTGCTGTTACAAGAGGTATGCTGCCTGCTGTCGTAGAAACCAAACCATGGATGTTGGAGAAAGGGTGGAGGCCCAGGAATGTTGTACCAGCATCTGATCCTGCTTTAGGAGCTGAGATGAATGGTACAGGATCATGCTGCTTTGGCCCAAGATGGATGCTCGAGTGAATGAGCTCAGTTTGCGTTGTGGCCGAACTATGTTTCTGCATATCTTGAGGAGGCTTCAGTGTTACCTCCTGGTGGCAAGTATGCTGGTGCGGAGACTTTGCCAAGAGGAGGTTGGTGGCATTATCATGGGATGAAAGTATCAGGCTTGGGGATGGTGTGGGAGAAGCTTTTTGACATGTGTTTATAGATGAGTCCACTTTGTTACTCCCTGGCTGGACAAAGCCATCCCTGAAACTGGAACAGCCCATAGTCCCTGGACACTTTGCTTGAATACTGAATGTTCCAGGAGTAGAGTTTGTTAAGATGCTGTCTACCTTACCAGCAATAGATGTAGTAAGCTGTGAAATACTAGAATTTGTCATTTCAGGAGAGCTAAATCCATCCTTCAGAAATCCAGACTTGCCACCCTGCTGCTGGAGCACTGTAAACCTTTCTTGTGACTGTGGGTGCAAAATGTTGGTTGAAGTACTGAGCTGAGGACTCGGTGATGCTGAGTTTGTGCTCCTGGTTGTTGAAGTGTTGGTGCTGGTAGATATCAAATGAGGTGGTAGCCCTGATGGTGATGTCTGTTGAAAGACACATTTGATGGTTGTTGATTATAATTTTAATTTATGAGAAATTCTGACAGCTATATTGGGGCATCTGCTCCTTGATTAACAGCATTTAACATTCCAATTATTTATTCAGTACACCAACAAACTTGCAATGACATACATATTTCGGTCCCTATCCAACAAACCAGCTAGTGTCATTTCTAGAACGAGCAACTTTCACTTTTGTCCAACAAAGATTATCTCATATCTTTGATGCGATGCATTCTAGAAATGACACTGAGGACTGTCCAATACAGACTGAAGCATGTACATCAACAAATGCGCAACAAAAAGTTTGGTGGTATGAGGAATAAATGCTTGCATTACAAACTACATGGTACGCAAGCTTCATCTCATGGCTCCTCATTCTCAAAATTACCAACATTTACAATATACAGCATAATTATTTTACAGAAGCCACACTAAACAAGTGAATGCAAATGCTAATAAAAAACAAACATAAAATAAAATCTCATACCTGAAGCAGCTGGGAAAGAACAACATGGTTACTGGCACCACTTGTAGTGGTGGGAGTACTGCCACAGTTCCCACTGGCAAGCAGAGCTGACAGTTGGTTCTGAGCTGTAGCAACACTGTGGTGTTGCTGGCCAACTGCAGATGGAAGGTTCTGGAGCAGTATATTTGCTGCAGATTGCTGCGTGTAAAGAATGTTACCACTCAAACCTTATACCACAAAAATGACTCTACAGAGTAACAACTATAGCTATTATACTATCATAAAATCCTCAATGAAGAAAACACAAACTCACAGATAACCCTCTGTGCTTGCAGAATAGTAGGTTTGCTGTCATCATTTTGTCTCTGAAAGTAACTTCTCAGTCCCATAGTCCAATTTTGTATTGTCACTTTTAAAAACAAAGTGGCGGTATAGATGTTAAACCAACTAACTCTCTCATATATATATATATATATATACATAAAGACCAAATAAAAAATATCCATCCAATAGGCATACAAATAAAACAGCAAACACGGAGAATGTAAACCGAGACAGAGAGTGCCTGTGGAAAGAAGGAAAGCAAGAACACAAATAACTGGTGGGGCTACAGGAAAAAGAACTGTGCTAGGAGGTAGCTGGTAGGCAGATGAATGAAGGAGAATCTGTGCTCATTCATTCCCTGAACCAACTTTAGTTATATCAATATTTGTTCAAACTGTTTCAATGAACATTAATGATGGAATATACCTGAGAGTCAGTGGGTGTATGATGTAATACAACATGGCCATCTTCTACTGCTAGCCTAAGCGAAGCAGTACCACCAGTAGCATTCTGTAATACAACAAACTTGTCACATAAACCAACGTAAACTGCCAATACATTTACAGACATCTCAATTATTTACAAGAGATCTGTTCGATTAATTTTTAATTATTTTAAAGGATTAATAAATGAATTGAAACAAATAAGATGCCAAACACCATTATGTTTATTTTGTTCTATCACAAATAGTGCTCAAATGTTAGTTCTCCTCTACAATTCAGAAGACAGCCATCTTCATACCTGTTGCTATGAGAACCTCAAATCCCACTGATGCAACCACATTAAAATCACTGTACGACACAAAGGAAGGAATGAAGAAGAGTAAGGTTTAATGAGAGAGTAATATAATCTGGGTTGGTTTCTTTATCTTGTGCATCATCTGATGTTATAAAATACAGGATGTTTTGAGGAATGGATCTGTCCTCGCCTTAGGGTGTAGTGAGGAAGGCACCTGCTCTGTGGGGTCCATTAGAATGAGCTAATTTCAATCACTGGACAACCTAGGCCAAAGCAATGTTATGTCCAGACAACGGACAAGGTGCAAAAATGCAGGAATTACTTAGGTTATCAACTTAACTAATACCTGAAGTGGAATCTGAGGTGGGGACCGGAGTTGTGTGATGAGCTGCGACTGCTGCTGTGCAGACTGTGGCTGACTGACTGGGGAATGCTGTGTGTTCATCTCCAGAGGAGCAGGACTCTGACTGGCTGCAGAAATCTGTGGTTCCTCTGTATCATACAGAGCTAAGTCCTCATCATCTCCAATGCCTGAAAAGTACATTATCTGTCTACTTGTTTACCTGATACATTTAACAACACTGACAACAGCTCAGACTTTTCAGCATGGAATGAAAGGATGGATGCATAATTAAAAAAGATATGGAAGGTAGCAATCATGGCCTAATTAAAGTACTATCCTAACATATGCCTGGACAGACTGAGGAAACCATAAAAACACTAAGCCAGGATAACCAGTCTCTGGGCTGAGATCTAAACCAAGAACCATTTAAATATGAAGCAAGAGTGCTAACCATTCAGCTGTAACCTTTGCACAACTTCATCTTCTTTCCAAGATGGTGAGTAATATAAAGAATACACAAATCAACCACCAGTGTCCCAAACATGAGATGTGTTTTCATTCCAAAACTATTATAATTTTAGATTACAATTCAGAAAAATTAAATAAACAAATGTATTCCACAAAGCAACTAACAGCAATATACCTGACATCCTGTCCACAAATTACTCACCTGACAGTTTCATTATGTTGGCAAGATCCAGTTTTGGTTCTTCATCTTTCTTTTTTTTCTTTTTCTTTTTAGGTTTCTTCTTCGGTGACAGAGCCAAGATGGAAGTCTGATCTGTGTTGGTACCAGTACACTGATGATGCTGTGTCTGTAGCACTGGTGTGTTATGGCGCATGATGGGATAGGTGGCATTCTGTTGCGAGGGTGTTGCATCCTGTTGTGACTGTGGCACCATTGCACCGACTGGTGGCTGCACCTGGTTCATATGCATACATTCAAAGGCTTAACAAGTTTCAGTTAAAGTCATCCCTGATGACATTAAATGACTGCAATATATTCATGGGTTTAGTATGATACTAACAACAAACAGCAATTATACCCTTAAACAGCTTTGAAATATTGACCTGTGTAATGGTGAAGCACTGTTTTCTCTTTGCAGTAGGGAATGAATTTTTAAATATTATTTAGAAAAGCTTTGGCTTCAATGGGCTAATTAAAACCATGAACAATTTTAAAAGGAACTATAATTTGATTAAATAATGTTCTCACATAAGAAAAATAATGCATATCCAATATATTATTTACCATTTAAAATGTTTCACTTAATAAAAAATTTCATTTGTCAAAAACACTGTGTGCTTCATGAGATGACAGCTTTGAAAGACAAGATAGGAAACAGGAAAGTTTGAAGATGAGAAATTTGTGATTTATGTTGATCTTGCCATGCGAACTTGTATGTATGTATGTATGTGTGTGTGTGTGTGTGTGTGTGTGTGTGTATATATCTACCTATAAGTCCGCATGACATTGCCAGAGATGTAGAACTGTTCTAATGCTTGTACCTGATGATGGTTTTGGTGAATAATGGAGGGAGTGACATTGTTCGTAGTACTGAGAGACATGGTATGTCCACCAATAACAGAGACATTGTGCTGAGGAGTGCAGCCAGTTCCAGATGTGGGAACACCAACGTTGAGTGAAGGTCGTATGTTACTCTGATGCAACTGAACAGCTGGTATAATGGAAGTAGCTGACTGCTGAGGGCTTGTGGATGGCTGATGCTGAGCCGCACATGATCGAGGACCCTGAGGAGGCTGCGGTGGAATCTGTGTATGTTGTGGAGGGGCTTGGGGCCCTAGATGTTGGAAGCTCAGTGTCTGGCCAGATGGAACAGCTATAAGTGTTGGGCCTGATGGAGTCTGTATCTGTTGTAGCTGCATGGGACCCTGTGATGTGAAGAGGCGAAGAACCTGCAAAGATGCAAAATTACTATAACTTCAGAACAATAATTTTATATATAAGGATATCTTAATATAATAACATGTTTCATCTTTTTCTTGCAAGGACAGATTGTGAATGCATGTAAGATGTAATACATGTGGTAAAATTTTTATTTGAACAGGGTTTAATTTTTATCTTTATTAATATGCTTATTCATTTATTCCTATTGGTCCACCTTACTTCACTTTCCAACCACTATTCAAGGTCACAGAATGCTAAAATTATTACATGCCTGCTGCATCTGCTGACGGCCAGTGCTCTGTAGAAGTTGCGCGGTGGCAGCACCAGATATGAACATTGGCTGCTGATGTGGAGTGGGACTTTTGCCTTGTTGATTCTGTTGGCAGCTCTGAGGAGGCACTGTAGTTTGGGTGCCTGAAGTTGGGGAACGCAGAATTAGCTGCACACCTCCGCTAGGGTTGGGCTGTACCAATACAGGGCCCCCTGCTCCCAGTCCTGGAATAACCTACATCACACCATTTTAGTTCCACAAACTGAAGGAAATAAAGTACAATGCCACATGATAAAGTTAGGAATGTAACAGGCCTGTGATAGAGAAAGGTGGATTTTCCAGACTCATATTTATACAAAATTTCTTCACTGTTTTTGTGTGTAAAACTTGTATTTACATGTGTCAGTCCTTAAGTTACACCCTGTAACATATAGCAGGTATCCAATGTACAAACAACAAATTCTACTGAAGGTATACAGCTGGCTCATCTGAACACCTCTTAATTACTGTTTAACATCTCCAGAATCACTGCCCATATTAAAAATTAATTTCTAGAATTGGAAAGCACCGAGAGGTGAAAATAAAATGGTTTTACAACAAGCAGAATCTGATGAACAGTGAATACTGCAAGTAATGTAATATTACCTGGTTCAGTAAGAGTGTGCCTGCCTGTGCAGTAGGTATCACTGCAGATGGGTTGGCCTGACCGATCACAACCTGAGCAGCAGATGCTGTGGTATGGTGTGATGTGTGGAGACCTATGCAAATAAATAAAGTTTAAAGATTTCTGTCTTCTGGGTTGTTGCGCTGTGTAGTCTGGTCGGTATTTACCAACGTTTCAGAGGTCATACTGCCTCCGTCATCAGGGCGATAAATACTCACCGCTGTGAAAACCTCAAATCTTACAAAGTTTACATTTGTGACACTTGAAATTCATTATGTGTTCTGGTGTACAATGACTACAGCTATTCAAAGACACTTGAATTACATACAAAATAGCTTGCTGGAAAAGCATATTTCACATAAAGTAGAAACTGTTTAATAATTTAATTATGCAATATTATGAATGATGGATGAAAACCACTGTTGACTGAAAAAAGCATAATTTAGGAAAGTAGTGCATTAGTCTGGGGGAAAAAAGTTCTATCCCTACACAGGTAAACAAAAAACTGAAAATTATGAAGTGAATATGAGAGGGTATGTCTTTCATCTTAAAATCAAGACTCAAAACTTAGCAGTAGTTTTAAATTGGTCGAGAAATTCAGCATCAATTTAAAAAGCTGGTATCAATATTTCACTTAAAAAAGCATGATAATGACATCCTTATGAACCACAATAATAACTAATGGATTTTCATGCATCTACTATAAAAATGAATATACGGTAGGGCACCGCATATACGGCAGGTTAGGGACCAGACCCCCGCCGAAAAGCGGATATTTGCCTTTTTTCAATTGCAAATGCATATCATAGACAAATAGGATGTTTACACTATCATATAGTAAATGCACAATAGCACTAGGCCTAAGAAAACGATTTGAAAGTAAAAAAAAACTGTAAACAGACTGAATCAGCGACGAGAAAATGGCGCCGGACGCACTTCTCTGACTCAGCTGTTGAGCGCGTGGGGCATATGCACGCAATTGAAAAGCGCCGTATTAGCGGATCGCCGAAAAGCGGGGCCCTACTGTATGTGCGACATTTTGGAACAGAATTTTCATAACAATATCTGACCTCAGTTCATACCATCTGCACCACATAAAATTACAAAATTTTCACTGGAATGTTACAGCAAAATATGGGTTCAAACTTCACTCTTCTGTAATACAAGTAAACTTTAAAAAATCTACCATACAACATAACTTAAGAAACTGGCTTACAGACATGTTTGTTAAGTGTCTCGGTGTCTGGGTTTCCAACACAACAAGGTCAAGGTATGGGAGAGCAGGCCTTGTGGGCAAAGACCCAAAGTGAGACAAGTTAAAGCTGGCATAGGCCTGAGAGAGGGGAAGGAACCCTTGTAGTGCAAACCCCTGGGGGCTGCCCAGTTTCTAGGCTGAAAAATGTTAGACAGGCACCGACATACTCATAAGATAGCCTTTGCTCATGCTAGAGCCTGAAGAACACCTACAAATGTACTCACTTTAATTCTTACTTCACTAAAATTATCAAAATTCATCCAAATGAATATGACACCATTTTTTCTTACATATGTCATCAACAAATTTTACAGTGTAACTAACATACCTTGATGCTGGGTGTTTGCATTAGATCGAGAATTTGCTGATATTTTGGCGTGAGATCCACTGGTTGACTGGCCTGATGGTGGCTTCGGTAAGATCTGAGGTGGCTGCTTTGGTTTAGGACCTCCGGCTGTGGTACCACTCTGCTGAAGAGGAACAGAACCCCCAGGACCTGCCGCAGAAATAGCAAGGAACTCAAGAAAACTGACTAGTTTCAATTCATGTCATCTCCATACTGCCATATCAAGACCTTTAATATATGAAACATGTATTTCACCATCCATCAGCTATAATCACAATTTTAATCATACATCACATAAGATGATATGTTGCAAAATCTGTTCAAAATTATTACCCAACATGTTGTAGTACCAAATACAATACTAAATGTAGAAACCATTAAGTTGACATTCGTTTTATGCAGTCAATGTAACAGCAGTAGGTAAAGTGAGTTTTGTTAAGTAGTGACTTCTGTGCTTATGTCTGCATACAGTTGGTATAAGTTACAGTTAAGTTACGAAATCTGCCAGGTTACTTAAAATTTGTACTTGTGAACAGTTTAATTAAATTTGGTATGGATATTATATCATCAGAGGCTACTTTAAATCAGTAATTTATTTTGTACAATTAATAAAACCAATGTCATGAATACTGGAATTTGGGACAATAATCCTCTGTGAATTACATCATTACCCATTTTGCTGCCACCTATTAGTAGTAATATGAACAGCAGCAACAAAATATGGCATGAACACCTTTGAAACTTTGTGTACTCTGCAAAAATACACCTTTCCTATCTTCTTACACGCAAAAAACAAATACCACAGTCAAAACTCCTGCACTCCTGGTTTACAAATGTTTCACTACCAAAGAAATAAATACATTTACCAGTAGTAATGATTTGTGTATGGCCTGGAAATGCAGAGCTCTGCGGTGCTGATGTTTGATGGTGTATGATTTGAACTAGTTGATGATTTCCTTGCAGCATGGCTGTCGAGCCTGGTGGCATCACTGGAAACTGACCTGCTCCAGGAAGTGCCAGTCCAGTCGGTAAGGTCTGTTAAAACATTCATATTTTTAAAACCAGTTATTTAAGACTCACAAATATTTTGAATTAAAACAAAAAAATTTCGAGGTTAAATTTCAACTTTTACCTATTAATTTAAGAAAATCCATCATACAAGTTCTAAACAATACAAAAAGTTTTGCTCACCACGCCACTACACTTCTTATAAATTTATCGCTTAAACTGTTTATACACATATAATATAAAATTCACGACTAATAATTAGGAAATTTCAATGCTGGTACCCCTAGCCTAAATTAAATTCCATACAAACTAAGAATTTAACCTACTGAGGTTACATGTTCTCATGGCGGTAAATATATAGACACCCGTCTCCTGGGTTGTTGTGTCATTAGTTCAGGATTAGTTTACTGATGTTTTAGAGAGCTCGGTGCCTCTGAAACATCAGCAAACTTTTACAAGATTATAAAGTGGAATAAAGAAGAAGGAATTTAACTTTGTTGGAGAAAAGGAAAGTGAAAACTACTTTTGGTTAAAAAACTTCTCTGTTGTTAAAAACTGTAGGATAAAGCCACACCTGATGTATAACAGCTGGTTGAGGAGTAGTTGACCGTATCACTGGACTGGCAGCAGTTCTGGTTTGTGGGGAAGGAGAAGGGGCAGGTGTGAGAGCCCCACCAGGAGTCATGGTACCCCCAGTCTGGGTTCCTCCAGGGGCTGGAGATCTTGTTGGCGCCACACTGTTATTGCCAAGGTGCTGGACAAGATGATGGTTCAACATAGCAGTATTTTGTTGTGCAACTGGTGACTGGAGGTTTGAATATGGGGACTGTGCAGGAGACGGTGATGTGTTTGTATTACTGCCTGACATGGTAGATCTTTGTTGTGGCAACACAACAACGGATGGCTGAGATGATGGCTGTTGCATGTTGTACACATTCTGTAACAAGAACCCCAAATTAAGATTTAGAAATGTAAACAAAACAAAAAGGAAACATTAAATAGAAGCTGTAGAAGCAAAGCTGCAATGTAACAAACAATTTACAACACACATTTTTTCTTTCTAAATCATATCCACCTTATATGGAGTGCCTGATATACAAATAAAAAATTAAACTAATTTTCTTTTTGCCTTCTAGCTTGAAGATGACTCTTGAAATACTTAGAAATTTGCAATTATGGAATATCACTGCAGATGGTTAAAACATTCTAGAATGCTTGATGAGAGAAGGGGCACTTATTCTTAACTTCTATATCAGACATTCTGCATACTTAATTAAAATTCTGTTTATATTTGTAATTTCAAACAGCAGAATATATTAAATATCCAAGTTGAATGCGTTATGAAATATGTACACACCTTAAAATTGGTGCTGGCAGTAGACAGCACAAAACTGGTGGGAGTCTGAGAATTTGAAACACCATGTGGCTGCAAGTTGCCATAGTGTTCTTTCAGCAGGTTTGTGGGAGTGGGGTGCGTGGAACTTGCAGAGAGGATGTACGGCGTGTTCGCAGCACTACCCTGTTGCTGCTGCTGCTGTTGTGGGGACTGCAACTGGGAGTGGTACGGACTGGGGGCAGGTGAAGGGGGATGATGTGATGGAACTGATGCTGGGGATCTAAGAGGTAATGGACTGGGTGAAGGCGTTGGTGGGGCATGGGGTGCTGGTGATCTTGTAGGAACAGAAAAAGGGGATCCAGGGCTGGAGATGGCATTTGTAGTGAGGGCAGGTGTAAATACTGTTGTGCCTGATGGCCCCACTAGAACCCCACCACCAGTTGAGGAGTTTGGAGCTGGTAAGATGGATGCTCCAAATATGCTACCACCTGCTGCTGAATTTGATGCAAGGGCTTGCATGGAGGTGTTTCCAACAGTCGACCCAATCATAGGCATCCCTGTAGAAGGTACTGTTCCCCCTACATGGAGGCCAGCAGCTGAGGTCGCAAGAATTGTACCTCCATGTCCGATAGCAATATTTGGATTCCCAATCTGAAGCCCAGTGGTTGAGATGCCACCTGAGGTAGAAAGAGAGGAGGAAGCAGAGGATGCTGGGGTATAGATGAAACTGGTGGAAGGTTGAGACGCTGAGGCACTGACTAGTGTTCCACTACCTTGTTGACCAGGGGAATTAATCAAGGTAATTGGGTGTGGAGGATGATGGGACTGGGGTGTGGTGCCCCCACCTGTGTGGTGAAATGGAGTCAAGACAAAATGATGTGTGGATACAGGGATGCAAGATGATGAAGTGACCACAGATGCCGAAGACGACACAACCTGCATTCAATATACATATAAGAGAGCCACAGAAAACAAATATGTACACCTTGGCCACACTACATTTAGGGAGTAAGAGTTTTTAGCCTGGCCATTTTATTTAATATTTTAATTACATTCTGTATTTCACACATGTTGTACCTCAGTTTAATAGGTACAACTCCTTGATAAAGAGGAAATTTTAGGCATTTAGTAGCTGTACAGCTTATATTTCTGCTGTCCACAATGCTTCAAAATTAATTTTTTAACATGTGAAAATGGGGAACATGGCCAAGTTCCTTATTTGTAAATTGCATTTTTTTCCAGGGCTGTGATGTGCTTATTTAGTGGAAATTCTCATGAATATTATGTGGCAATATTGTACTGATATGCATCTTGCAGCAAACAGCATGTTTTCAAAATGTGAGAAGAGGCTGCTCTGATCAAAGGCTACATTATAAATTTAAGAATGAAGTCTTTATTAAGGCACCAGTTGTGTTAATTACCAAATCAGTTAATTCTCAGGACTTCAAAGAGAAAATCATTCTTTCAGTCCATGGAATAACACCAATAATCCTCACACATCAACTGTAGTGAATCCACAGAAACATTCTATCACAACAATCATTCAAATAATATGGGTTTATGATTCCTTTTAAAGATTTTCCTTGAAATACATTATTACATAGATCTACAATTTCTACATAATTTATAATAGTATGAGAAAATTACTTACAGGGCCAGCATTACTATGGGGCGGCAGGGTGAATGTAACAGCTTGGCCTTGTGGGCGCCCAGTGGCATTCCCTGCCTGGAATTGCTGTAACTGCTGAAGCTGAAATATAAGTAGACATCACAATATGCTCATTATTTCACATATTTAATAACTGAAAAGAATAAGAACATATTTAGATCTTAAATGTGAGGTGTAGAACTTCTATTATCTACATATAAGTTTTGATATTCTATCAATTTTCACAACAAGCATGCAACAAAAACTTCCAGTATATGAAACAAAACAAAATCATTCACTTCGAATTCAATTACAATTTTTCACATAACGGACAATGTAACAATGCCAACAAAATGAAGGCTTAAACCATCAGGCATAGAAAATCAGCATGTTAAGGTTTGTCAGATTGCTCGATACCTCCACAGTTCATAAATCCAATAATACTATCATCAGTCAGTAATGGATTACCGAAGACAACACACATGCTGTATACTGTCCTGCACTGATAACCTATTCTTAGACTAGTAACAGTATCCATGGTACTTTTTCACATTTCATAGATTATTGGTGAGATATATACTCAGTTACATTCAGGCAGGACTACAGAAATTGAATTTCATCTTTATTGCAGTTACTGGTGAAGTTCAACAATTATAACAGTGTGAGATAAAAGCATTTTACTTAGTAGATAGCCCAAAATAAAATTACTCATAATAAAACCAAATTCAGAGAGTGCTCTATGTGATTTACCTGGTGCTGTGTTAGGAGAAGAGAACCTGCAGGCGCAGTCTGAGGGTTGCCGGTAGATGCATGTCGTGCAGAAGTGCCCCCACCACCTGCAGTAGTGCTGGGGTCCAACAGCCCCTGCTGCAGTGAGTCCACTAGACTCTCCAGTGTGGTCCGTGATGAACTCTGTATTACCTTTTATATACATTACTTTTATCAATTATTAGTACTTAAATTAGTGAGGATTGTTCAAGATGACTATATGAGGGCAATTCACTACACAGACATGAACATTTGTGGATCAGAATAAATTATATGTACTGCAGCTGTTTGCAATTATAACTTTATGAATCTATAAACATTACTGTACCATGAAGTGCACTTCCATGTTGTTAAATTTTCAGTAATTAAAATGAGGGTAATTTCTCTTAGTGTCTACAGTAGTGAAATGTGTATGTGACATGACAATGCCCCTTACAACTGTATCAGTGTTCTAATATAGACAGGCCAGTCTGCATGAATATTGTGCGACCAAGCAACTGGGAAAAGTAACACTACACAGAGATGTGTACAAAAAAATATTTTTGTAATCCATTCAAAGCATCTTGTTTCAGCTGAAATATTTCAAATTAAAAAAAAAAAACAGTACCATACCAACAATTTTATGGATAGAATACAAACTTCACACTTTTCTCTTAGAGGTTTTGGTACCTGAAATACCACACTCTGCCCTATCTTTGTAGTTGTTTTCTTTGAGGTATGGACTGAATTCCTAATTATTTAGATGAGCTACAGCTTTACAGCAACATCAACATATAAAATAACACTTACTTCACCTGCAGCAGCTGCACTTAATCCAAGGAATGATTCTAGAGCTGATGGGTCACTGTAAACAGATAAAATCTGCATTCAAAATATTTGCATAAAATCTGTGTGTATCTGCATTTTAAGCACAACACTGCCAGCTAAGCTCCAGAACCTCCCATGAATCCTACACCTACACCCCTCATTTGCAAATAATAATTTCAGTCGAGTCAACATTCAACCCACTAACAAAATATCCATTCCCCTAAAGCAGCAATGTTGGGCATCCTTTTACCACAGAATAAATAGTGTCCTAGCAACAAGAAAAAAGTAAACAAAATTAACAAATGTATGATTCTTCGTGACATTTAATAAGATTCATAAAATTATTTGAAGTATAGAAATTAATATTTGAGGGTTGTACATTCAATTAATGCTCTGAAGCTGCTATCAACTGCTCAGTACCTGCCAAGCTGTTACGTTCATCAGGAATATGTATAGTGTACGCTGTGCTGTGTGCATTTGTTGCAAGCTTTTATTGTTCCTGTCTTGTAAATATAATAATGCAGTTTTGGAAACAGAAAAATTACAAAGTGAACAATATTATATATTTGTTGTGATGGCAAGAAACATTACTATAGAATTCTACTACTACTATAAAAAAATAACTTAAATTTATGACATGGATTGTACAAAATAGTGCAAGTAGTTCAGAGAGATATAATACTCTGCAACAGGCAATGTACGGTCAGAGCAGTCAAGAAACTCAACTGCCCCAATTTCTGCTTGTTCCTGGGCTGAAAACTAAGCTGGAGTTTGATTTCGTCAGATATTATTATGTTACTTCCTGTAGCTATATAATAGTGAAGGGTGGTGGATCCAAGATCACTGAATCATACTAAATGGGACAAACAACACAATTAATTTATACTTAAAAACTGGTCTCATTTCTCAATTCAGAAAAAACTTCTGTAGTATATGAAACATACAGGTTGGTAAGTTATTAATAGCTTACTCAATCACATCCAGTAGTTTTTGAGAGCCATCATCCATCTCCAGACACACAGTCAGCTTTGTTTTTCCCGTTGAGTGAACTTTAATTACTGTGACTGCCAGTGGCGTTGTGTTTCCATTGCACGACAAGCAGACCAAACTGCTAAGGACTCTGTCTGCATACATAAAAGCTCAAATTATGATCTACATAGTTAAATTTTGAGGAATAAATATAAAGCTAAAATAAATGCGTTTGGTACTGAAATTTAAAGTATTTTAAGCACTGGCGGAGTGTGATTTTTTCAAAAGAACGAGCCAAATACTGAAGTTGGGGGGGAGGGGAGGGCACTAGCTTGCTAACAATGCCTGTGGCTGGCTGGAGCTGGTAAATGATGCATTACCTGATCAGTTCTCCTGTATTTCAGTGTATGGAGTGATAACAAAACTTCAGTTAAAAACAATATTTTGTGGCACAACACTAAATCAAAGGTTGTTTTTTCCTTACTGGGTAACAATTGTTTCCAAATGTGACAGCACAATTTTGTTAAAAGCAGTTCATACAAATATTGACAAAAAGGAAGTATAAAATCTCTTGGTAAATGGCCAACTTATACACCTGTAATTACATAGTATTTATCGAAAGAAAATACTTGGAACCACGTGCTATGTTTCAATTGGATAACCGAACAATGCCACTTTTTAACTGCTAAGACCAATACAAAATATTAACCCATTAAATCTCACTGGCATACTTCAACAAACCCACTTTTTCTTAAAGTCCAAAAAAGACGAGCTTTGATGTATCTACATGTAAGGCAGTTTCGTTTTAAATTATGTATGGTTAACCGAATCAGAATATTTTTCTCTCGTTGTAATTCACCGAGTATTACTGTTTATATAGCTGTGATATAAACTGCTACCTCACACTGCTTCTTAAATAAATAAAATATCTCCACAATCAACATATTTGCATTATTCCACAAATGCTTATAGAAGTAAAGATACATATTATCATACTAGTCTACTGTCTTCCAACAAACAGATGAACAGGCAATTAACACCATCACATAAATACCTAAGAACTTACAAGGGTATCAGGAGTAACACCATAGTTACTCGAAGGTGATGCATTAATTGTTATTCTAGAAAGGGTCCTTGTAATGGAACAATTTTAGTGTCAACAGAAGGTTTCATGGCAACCATATTAAATTAAGTCTTCTTGGGTGATCGGCTGTATGTAACTGGTGTTGTAGTGCATCAACCCTGATGATGGAAACAGAGTCTCTGCAATGTTGGATCACAACACTATTTTCACATGGCTAATCACCTGAGAAGACTTGACTGGTACGAAAGTCAGTATAGGCTGACATGTAACATTATGGTGAGTGTATTTATAGGTTGCAGTCCCAACATGTTATACCACGACTATGCAAAGTTTGGGTTGTGATTTCATCAGAATTCATTAATCAATCAGTTGTTTCATGTGCATTATTTTTTGTCATAGGTAATTTTTTTTAAAAAAAGGTTCTTTTAAACACAGCTGCTGTGTAAATGATACATTGCACAGATTAATGGTAGTCTTAAGCAACCTACCTTAATCCTACTTAAAGATCCAGAAAAATGATAACACATGTGCAAATGTCAGCAAATCAAAGTGACCTCAATGAAGGTGAGATACTATATGTGTAAGACAACTGGTTTAAATTTTAAAAAATGAGAAATATCCACAACAGGATCTCTGGAAATGAAAGACGCCTAATGACTGTAGTCAAGTTGTTAAGGTAGTAATAATAAAATGTCCATTTAAGACAATATTATATTTTTACACCCAACACAATCAGATTCCTACCCCATCGGTATATAAACTACAGAATGAAGCCAAGGACATTATTCATGTATCAGTAACAATTATTTTTGAAATATCCATTTTTACTTCACGTGCAATATACACAATAAGCATCTGACCCCATGCTTTTGGGCATCATGTGGAAAAGGAAGACAAAAATGAATCAGCTAACATTCAACAAACTGAAGAAAAATGGAATTGCATGCCTGTTGCTGCCATCTTAATCCAACAATATGTGAGATAAATTGTGAAAAACTACATTCAGACTGAAAGGGGCATGCTGTAATTACTGTGGCCAAGGCCAGACAAAATAATGAGAATGCAAAGAACTAAAGAGGGTGTTAAAATCACAGGAGGAAAACTGTTTTCAGTCTTCCACACCTACAATCAATGGGGCATGACTGACCACACCTGTTAGAGATGTCCGAGTATAGCTGCGATGCCTGTATGGTTAGCCTAACCCATCATGATTTGCAGTTTGGCTGGCTGCACAAGGCTTATATTCTTCATCAATATGATTCATTCCTGTAACACATGAACAACTACATGGTAACATACAGTAATGCAATTCCTTTTAACAAAGAAACTGCTCAAGAATAAATTACCCATTTAAAGTGGAATGAGCAAGTTATTTCTAAGATGCATGGCTGCAAGGAGCTCTATGGCTCCACTGTATTATGAAGTCTGAATTTCTCAGATGTTCGACTAATAAAGGTGCCTTCTCATTTATTGCATGAGATAAATATACTTAACATCTTAAATAATTCTACAATATAAGGTTCTCTGCCTATTTAACACTGATGTGGCTGAGCTGCAACACAGTAATGAATGAAAAATTGCAGGAAGATTACGGAGGATCAAAAGATAGAGTGGGAAGGACATTTACAATCAGCACACTATCCCAAGTTATTTCCAAGGCATGCTCTTAACTTTCTTGGCATTCAAAGTTCAAATTGCTGTCAGAGGATAGAAATTTAGATGCAATAAACCCAAACTGTAGTTTTCATACGTTTATCTGACGAAACAAGCAGAGCTGGTTTCCAAAATCATTCCTTAAGTTGAACTATAACAATGAATGATGTCCAAAAATTTGCAGTTTATTAACACATTTGTCAGGAAACATTACACTAAATCAGATATAACCAAGTCTAAAAATAGATTATACCCCACAATGTATGTATGTATGAATACAATAAAATATTTTTCTCCATCCATTTTAAAGCACAGAAACATGTTTTAATCTGATAAGTATTTATTGAGATTAGCACACTGTGTTTGGGTCATATATGTATCACCTTGTTGATTTAGATAGAAAATGACACATTAAACAACATAAACGCGTGACCAATAAATTAGTTATTAAAGCATTTATACTATACAGTTCATCTTGATCTGATCTACAAGCACTCAAATTTCACCTTTAGCCATACCACGAACATGTGGATACAGAATTCATGTTTTGGTGATAACTTATTGCAGAGAAGTGAATATAACTTGTTTCAGTACACTTCCAAATGGGGAAATGGAATACCTCTCACATATCACTCATTAAATTATAAGGCCATTATCATAATTAACCTTATTTGCATAATTGGCTGAACAAAACTATGACTGAGTTCCATTTTGCAGCAATTCAAATAATGAAACTTAGTCACCTCTTGTTCAGGGAAAACTATGTATTCATTGTATGATTTGAGGTTTTCATCGCCCTGATGACGGAGGCAGTATGACCCCTGAAATGTTGGTAAACATTTACCAGACTACACAGCGCAACAACCCAGAAGACAGAAATCTTCAAGGTATTTGTTGTTAATACACCACAGATCAAAGATAAATCGAGAGTTAGGGATATTACATAGGTGAACTAAAAGTTGATCATCTTCATTAGAAATGTCATTAATGTACCCACAACAAAGATACATATAAACAAAGCAGCATTCCCCTGGAGAAGGATTTGTGCCATAATCTGCACTTTAATAAATCTTCAGCCCTGAAGGAGGAGACAGTATCTATCTACACAGTGTGTCACAACACAGAACACCAACGATGCAGAATAATGCAAAGAAATTTATATGAATGTCAGGCACAAAAATCTTTAAAAAAAACCCTGGTATTTTACAGGGCTATAGTTGTCATGTGCTAAGAGGGGTCAGTGTTCTGGTGATACATAGTATTTCGGTCTGATTACTGCATCGTCAAAAATACTGTTCTACAATAAGCCACCGGGTGAAAATGAAGTTTTCCTAACACGCCATTCGCACTGCAATCCACGAGATGCAATGCGAAAGCAAAGTTATCCTCGTTATAACACAGAGAGTATAAGCACACGGCACAAATTACACGACTCAATATTTCTCAGCTATCTCCTCACTCACAAACAATTAAATGAGAACTAAATTTACCTTCATTAATATATGTTTATGTTTCCTGAAACATCTATCTAAATTTAATTCAGCAATTGTTGGACACACACAAAACATTGGTTACAATTACAAACAGCACGGTGACCATTTTTAATACCGTAAACAAAGTTGCCAACATAACATACTTTAAATGTGTACAAAATAACGACTTCATCAAATTTCATAAATTGAGGAAAATGTAAAAAGCATACGTTTTCGACGGTCTACAGTCTTTCCTTCAGAACACACCCCTCAAAATATATGACAAAAATAATAAAATAATAAGCGAAATCTATTGAAGACGTTGGACATACTGACGAGGTAGTACAGATCGATATAAATGTTTTGCATTAAATTATTTTAAATGTATATTCATAAAGTGAGATTAATCTCGAATTATTATGACGTTTAAAAACCAAATATTATATGGGGGCGGTAGAAATATTTCATACAATTTGTTGCAACCCAACATACACTTCTTTATAGCCGGATAATAAAATATAAGCTACTAAAAAACAGCTTGAAAAAGGCAATGGCATCTTTCCATAGAGATAGAAATTTCGGAACCGGTGAGAAACAGAAAACTTTGATAATTGTAACTTAAATATCATTTATTTGTGAAAGTTGCATGGGCCTCTGGTTAAATGAAAACTGCTGCAAAAAGAAAGACAGATCCAGTGATAGTGAACAAGAGGGATTATGACGTAAGACCAAACCCGTCCCCCCCCTTCCGGACAAGGGTTCAGCTTTAAATACGAACACAGCTCCGGAAACAGCCGAAGTTTCATTTAAACCAGTGTTCGGGGAACTTTGCTCCTCTTTACAACAAAACAAGATCCTTTCATTCCGATTGGTTCACCCATGGCGCAACTGAGCTGCGATTGGTCGAGCCGTGAGCTCTAAACTTTCCTATTGGTGCGCCAACCCCCCTCTCCCACATTTCCAATGCATACTACTGGTTGGCTAGCCTAATGTGCCAGTCTGGCGCAAATATATTTCATATGAATTACAAGTAACACGAGAGAAAGAGCGAGAGGGATAGATACGAAGCGGGTGGGGGAGAAAATTACCAATGTCATTTATAGATAAATTGGGCGTTTACATCGGCTCTCCCTCCCCCAGCACAATGATATGACATCCGTCCCGAGAGAAGGAAAGCATGAATTTTTCTAAGCAATATTTCGTTCATTCAGTTCGCGTTCCAGGCAATAACTACTTGGTACAAGGAAGAATTTCTGCTCGAATTGTTGGGTTACGATTGTTAAAAAGTTCGGGAAATTGCAGTCGGACTGGTTGCCTTGTGTTGCGTGTTCTGCGGCTTTGTAACAAGAACGAAGTTTTTTCCCCCTATATTCACCATCAGCAAGGTTGCCTATTCTCAGTTACACTTCCATGCCCTTGAGCACTGGACGTTTGTTTAAATCCAAAATTAGTATCCTTCTATTTACTGCCATGGGTAGTGAGGTGAATTCAGTAAGGTAACTTACACAAAACATTTTTAATAAGTGTAACATATTACATAACAGGAAAACTGCTTATGTTTTTAGTTAAAATACCATCTTTATTCATAAACAGGTAAAAGTGTGTGTGTGTGATTATTCCATTGGCTGGGGCAGATTTATAAGTTACAGAAATATCAACGATTATGGACAGAAATAATTCTCCTACCCCTAACATTGCAAGATCCTCCATCGACCACAAATCGCATTTTCAACCGTTGATTGAAATGACAAATTGCAGCCAGCACACTGGCTAAATATACCTTATGTGAGAACTACATAACCTCATTCCATATGTGGTCCACGTATTTTTAATCTGTGCCCATAAATCTTACTCTTTGGAACTGACAAATCCCTGATCACTCAGCCAAGAAAGAATGATTAAAATTCAAACAAGACAAGGTGATGTTCCTGGTGCAATAATGAATATAACTACGTATATTATAATTTTTTTTTTGATTAATGTAAATAAATTGTCCGCCATCTTGATGCATATAGTGGATTATCGGAACCGCCTTCAACAAACACAACAGTACTCAAAACAATACTTCCTACTAAGAAATAGAACGGTATCGAGATTTGCTATGTTGCCATATCGATTTTCACAACCACATACGCAATTAGGTTTAAAAAAATTCAGTCAGTAAGCTTCCGGAATAATTTTCCTTGAGACAATTTCTTACTCTCTAACCATTCACATGGGCGAACAAGTCAAGCTTTCCAGCCCTTATGGGCCTGCTTTATTAGAAAACTTAGTGGTACGACAGCGGGAGGGGACACAGGGGGATTTGGAATGCGTTCGTGGGAGAGGGAATACGGGGGAGGGGTTAGGAAGGGGGGTAGAGAACCAACCAAGACATAATAAAAACCACACAGAAATCTCGTCTAGGAGTTGGGAGGCACACACCGAATTGAAATCGCCTAACAGTTTTACGTTTCTGACACGAACAGACCGCTCCTACGTTTGGAATCAGGCTGAGGACACAGAAGCACGTCGCAACAGGCCTTGGGCTTGGCCATGTAGCATTCGCCGTCAGC